GAAGATACATTGGAGATAATATAAGGCAAGTATTGGAAACAATAGAACACTATGGAAAATATGGGAATCCAGGCCTGCTATTCATAGCAGACTTCGAAAAGGCATTTGATAAAGTTCGACTGGGGTTTATATATAAATGCCTGGAGCATTTAGATTTTGGAGAATCTCTTATAAAATGGGTCAAAATCATGTATAGTAACCCTAGGTGTAAAATAGTAAATAATGGCTATTTCTCATAAAGTTTTAAACTGTCAAGAGGACTGAAACAAGGTTGTCCACTATCGGCATATCTATTTATTGTGGCCATCGAGATGTTAGCTATTAAAATCAGATCCAATAATAATATCAGAGGATTAGAAATCCAGGGCTTATAAACAAAGGTGTCATTGTACGCTGATTATTCATGTTTTCTTTTAAATCCACAACTAGAATCCCTCCACAGCCTCATAGAGGATCCAGATACATTTTCTAACCGCTCTGGATTACAACCAAATTATGACAAAGGTACTATATTACGTATTGGATCACTAAAAAATACAATTTTTACATTACCATGTAGTTTACCAATAAAATGGTATGATGGTGATGTGGATATACTTGGAATATATATCCCAAAGGAAATAAATGATCTCACTTCAATACATTTTAATAGAAAGTTAGATAAGATCTTACTACCATGGAAAGGAAAATACCTGTCAATTTGTGGAAAAATCACCCTGATTAACTCTTTAGTATTATCCCAGTTTACCTATTTGCTTATGGTCTTGCCTACGCCTAGCGAACAGTTTTTTAAATTATATGAGAAAAAAATATTCAATTTTATTTGGAACGGCAAGCCAGACAAAATTAAAAGGGCATATTTATATAATGAATATGAATTCGGAGGACAGAAATTATTAAATATTAAAGCATTAGACCTATCACTAAAAGCTTCAGTCATACAAAAGTTATACTTAAATCCGAACTGGTTCTCAAGCAAATTAATAAGATTGTCTCACCCAATGTTCAAGAAAGGCCTTTTTCCCTTTATTCAAATTACAACAACTAATTTGCAGTTATTTGAAAAGGAAATCATCTCCCAAATATCACTATTTCTAAAAGCCATAGAAAGTTGGTTGCAATTTCAATTTAATCCTCCAGAAACGACAGAACAAATAATGCAACAAATATTGTGGTTAAATTCAAATATACTAATTGACAAAAAACCTTTATTTTTTGACAGAATGTTTAAAAAAGGTATAATCTTCGTAAATGATATAATCGGTAGGACTGGTGGAGTTATGTCGCACATGCAGCTAACAAAAACATATGGAAATGTCTGCTCTACCCAAAATTACAACCAAATAATTGCAGCCTTACCGCAAAAGTGGAAGAGGAAAGTGGAAGGGGGAGAAAGTAAGGAACTTGTCTGTCGGCCTTGCATTAAAGAACATAATTGGTTAAGAAAAACTGTGATAAATAAAAAAGTATATCAGTTTCACTTAAGGACCAAAGGATTGAAAGCCGTCCCATATAGATTGCAAAATAGTTGGGAAGAGATCTTTGACGTACCGATCCCATGGCATAGTGTTTATGAACTGACACGCAAAACGACACCGGATTCAAAAATTAGAATCTTTCAATTTAAATTATTATATAAAATTCTTGCTACCAATAGAATGTTATTTATATGGGGGATACAATCTTCCCAGCTCTGCAGATTTTGCTGTGAAGAGACAGAATCATTAGATCATTTGTTTTGGTTCTGTCCATTTGTAGCTTGTTTTTGGACACAGGTCCAGGAATGGCTAAAGGATTGCAATATTTACCTGGAGCTAACCTTGCAGATAGCATTACTGCGTGATCTGAAAAGTCATAGTCAATCGATCAATAATATAATAATACTTTTAGCAAAAATGTTTATTTTTAATTCACAATCTGTAGAAACAATGAGAATAGAAAGGTTCAGAACTTTTGTAAAACATCACAGTACGGTTGAAATATATATGGCAAATAGAAATCCTATATGGATGGTATTAAGAGATAGATGGGAGGTATTGAATAGAGTTGAAGGATGGGACTAATAACAAATAACAACAAATAATAACAAAGATAGCTAATAATGTAAGAGTACTGTGTCCATAATAAGTATATAGGTTGTATGTTGGGAGCTTTTGGGAAAGAGCACAGTTAGAAAGATATGGCATATAGAAGCAAACCGGATGGACATCATGAAAATGATCGGAGAGGTTGAGAGTAGAAGTAGTTCAGGAGCCAAAATATATATATATATATATATATATATATATATATATATATATATATAATATAATTATTGTAAAATTAACTGTGTCCATAAGGTGTAGATAGTAAGTATAGACCGGAAGTAGAGGCCTGGGCATTGTTGTTCACTAATTTACTCCAAGTAGGGAAAGGATGGCGGGGTTGAAAAGTAATAAATGGGAGTATATATATAAAAAACACAGGGGATTGGAAGTGATGCAGACAATTACATTGATAGAAGATACAATCTATCTGCAATATTAAGCTGATCCACCCCCCCCCCCAAAAAAAGAGACATGTTCTGAATAATTAATTAATGTCGTAATTAGACTTTTAATTGATAATGAATAGGCTTGTTGTGGTTGGCTAAGGTAAGACTGGACCACTAGGTAATCTTATTAACTCTGTCTTTTGCCACTCAGAGCAAATATGTAATGAGCTCCTCACATCTTCATCTGCACTCTCTCCAAAAGGGTGGCACTCTTTTGTGGTTTTGAAATATAGCTGGTGTATAATGCAATAATACGATTTTGAGCCGGAATAATTTGAGAGTTCTTCCCAGATACAAGAAAGATCCTCAATCAAATACAAAGACAGCATTGCCACCAGTGTATTACTCATTCATTAATTTCAGTTTGCACTTGAATTCCAATACATAGTTGTATATGCTCCTTGCGTCCTCCTCACCTATAGACACATTTAGTGTGGTTTTGAAGTGGGTGGCTGATACAAGGTCTTGTAAATGTCCTTATCTTCCCTATCTCCATTAGGATTGAAGCCTCGTTTTTCTGGCAGCTTAACATCTTAATGCGATTCAAAGACCTACATTCTACACCGGAGTTGCCTTGGCAACAACGTTTTTTTTTTCTTCACCGGAGATACTGAGAGATCAATAGAGTATCTGCGATGGTGATGGCAGGAAACGCTAGAGCACAGATGGTCCTCAGAGAAACCATGAGCTCTGTGGCCTAGTTACCATTGAATGCTTACACAATTATTGGAGAACAATATTCTATCTAAAAGTATATGAGACAAATGATTTTTTGCAGTGATGAAACATATTTTCAGCCCAACCGAGAACACATTGTATAAGACTTTTGTTCTATGAAATAAGATTTGTTTTGCTATAACCTACTTTATTAATGTAACCTCCCCAGCTTCTAAAAAAGGGTCACATTGAGATAATTAATTTACACAAGCCAGGCACAGTGTGCTGCCAGCAATAAAGGGGCTTTTCTAAATAAATGGATTCTCTCTGGAGTTTTGAAATTATTTCTCACAGAAGAACCCCCCCGGTGTGACATTCTCTGAGTGTGAAAAACAGATTTGACCTCAATGTAAATTTACATATAGGAAATATACATAAAGGAATACAATAGGTTGTTGTAGTCAAACTTAGTAGATATTGTTCACGTTCTGCTCTCTATATCTTGAGTTTCATTGAATAAAAAGTTGAATATATGTTTTCTCAATACAGTACAATAATCAAAAGATTCATTTACATTTTAGCAGACGCTCTTATCCAGAGCGACTTACAGTTAGTGAGTGCATACATTTTCATACTGGCCCCCCGTGGGAATCAAACCCACAACCCTGGCGTTGCAAACGCCATGCTCTACCAACTGAGCTACACGGGACTACATGAATTACTTAATGTGTGATATATACGATAAAGAAATGGAAAGATAAAGAACATCTGATCCAAAGGTGAAAGGCAAGCTAAAGATAAATCAAAAGACTGACAGTCTAGAGGACAGCAGACGGTTGTTATTTTCAAAGCACATAGCCAGGAATGATTGGCTACCCATGGAGAACAGTCAGTTATCATCATATCCCTAAATGGACTCCATCTGTGATAAACATCAAGGGTTAAATGTATGAGCAACAAAGATTGATGCCAAAAATAGAGAAAACTATTGCATGGCAATATGGAAGACGTCATAAAAGAATGGGGTTCCATTGGGATTTGGTGGTTATTACACCCAAGGATCTCTTTTTGCACCTGTCACTTATGTTCTCACAGAGCTGGAATCAATAGCACTAAATGGGGATCAGAGAATCTGAAGATCAGCCTCAACACCTAAGAACCACCTAATAATACCTCCATCTGATGGATTTAGAACAAAGGTCTCTCATCTCACTTTTCACCTTCACGTTTTGTTGCTATGATTTACTTGACAGACTGATGTCTAATTCTGCAGCACATTTCTGAAGCATGAAGAGTGAAGGGAGCATGAAAAGGTCATATAAATCCTTAAGCAGTGCTGACAAGCACCCTTTCTCCCCTTAATTCCCTACACTGTTGTGATGTTCAGAGCTAGAAAAACACACAAACCATAAAACATAAAATCGACACTGCAATTATTCACAATTGGATGGGATCGACATTGACGCAGCAGTCTGCTGGCATATTATCCAGTTCGTGTTTGTTTTGCCTGACCATTCAGTGTTTTTTTTACTGGAATAATGCGATGGCAGGGGCGCAACAGTTCAGTCATCTATCATCTCACCACACTATCAACAACCTCTGACATGTCTCACATGTCTCTCTGGTGATCGGTACCCTACTGGCAGTTTCCATCATCTTGGTTGATGACTTCATTTGTGTAACATATGTTAATTATAAATGGTATGATTTTAAACCCCCCAAATATACCTATTTTAATGTATCTCTCCCATTTCTCTTTCTATCTCTATCTGTTCCAGGATCTGGAAGCTGACAGACAGACAGACAGACCATGGAGCGGCTGGTTGTGTGTATGCTGCTGTGTGTACTTCTGTGTGCGGTGCTGGTGAAGGGCTACAACTGCCCCGGCCGCTGCATCTGCCAGCACCTCTCCCCCACTCTGACTCTGCTCTGCGCTAAGACCGGTCTGCTGTTTGTGCCCCCAACCATCGACCGCAAGACCGTGGAGCTGCGCCTTACAGACAACTTTATCACCATCATCCGCAGGAAAGACTTTTTCAACATGACCAGCCTGGTCCACCTCACCCTGTCCCGTAACACCATCAGCCAGATCACGCCCCACGCCTTCCTGGGCCTGCGCTCCCTACGAGCCCTCCACATGGACGGCAACCGCCTCAGTGTCATCAAGAGCGATCACTTCAAAGGCCTGGTCAACCTCCGCCACCTCATACTGGGAAACAACCAGATCCACCACGTGGCCCATACCTCCTTTGATGAGTTTGTGTCAACCATCGAGGACCTGGATCTGTCCAACAACAACCTGAGGACCCTGCCCTGGGAGGAGATAGGCAGGATGAGCCACATCAACACCCTCACCCTTGATCACAACCTGATCGATCACATCGGAGCTGGGACTTTCACGCTCCTCACCAAGCTGGTTCGTCTGGATATGACCTCCAACCGGTTGCAGAAGCTACCTCCGGACAGCCTGTTTCAGCACGCCCAGGTGCTGTCAGACGCCAAGAGCTCCAACCCGTCCTCCTTGGCAGTGAGCTTCGGGGGGAACCCTCTCCACTGTAACTGTGAGCTGCTGTGGCTCCGCAGACTGACCCGGGAGGATGACCTGGAGACATGCGCCTCCCCGGAGCACCTCATGGACAAGTACTTCTGGTCCATCCAGGAGGAGGAGTTCATCTGTGAGCCCCCGCTCATCACCAAGAACCTGTCCACCAAGCCCTACGTTATGGAGGGCCAGGGGGTCACCCTCAAGTGCAAGGCCATGGGAGACCCGGACCCGGCCATCCACTGGCGCTTCCCCGACGGCAAGCTGGTGCACAACAATTCCCGCACCATCCTGTATGACAACGGTACCTTGGACATCCTCATCACCACCCTGAAGGACAGCGGTGCCTTCAACTGTGTGGCCTCCAACGCTGCAGGTATTGCCACAGCTGCCGTGGAGATCAACATGATCCCGCTGCCCCTGTTCGTCAACAACACATTGCACCACATGCGCGAGGCCGATCGGGGCCTCTCTGACATCACCACCTCTTCCAAGTCAGGCAATGACACCAAGGGCCATGACAAGCACCAGGACAGGAGGGTGGTGGTGGCCGAGCTGACCTCCTCCTCAGCTGTGATTCTCTTGTCCCTCCGAGCGTCCACATCCCAGGCAATCAGGATGTACCAGAATCCATACAAACAGCAACTGCAAGAACGACACAGTCTGGTTTACAGGTACCATGTTGGGGCTGGGGCTGGAAGAATGTGAGCGCTGGGGCTGGAGGAATTTGAGCGCTGGGGCTGGAGGAATGGGAGTGCTGGGGCTGGAGGATTGGGAGTGCTGGGGCTGGAGGAGTGGGAGTGCTGGGGCTGGAGGAATGGGAGTGCTTGGGCTGGAGGAGTGGGAGTGCTGGGGCTGGAGGAATGGGAGTGCGTGAGGAGGGGTGCTGGGCTGGATGATTGGAGAGTGGAGCTGCTGGGATGGGAGTGCTGGGGAGGATGGGAGTGCTGGGGCTGGAGGAGAGGTGGGTGGGAGTGCTGGGGCTGGGAGGAGTGCTGGGGTGAGTAGGGGAGTGCTGGGGAATGGGTGCTGGCTGGAGGAGTGGGAGTGCTGGGCTGGAGGAATGTAGCGCTGGGGCTGGAGGAATGGGAGCGCTGGGGCTGGAGGATTGGGAGTGCTGGGGCTGGAGGAATGTGAGTGCTGGGGCTGGAGAAATGGGAGCGCTGGGGCTGGAGGAATGGGAGCACTGGGGCTGGAGGACTGGAGCTCGTGGAAAGGGTGTTTAGTTTAGTTTATTAGGATCCCCATTTGCTACTGCACATGCAGGAGCTACTGTTCCTGCGGTCCCCATAAAACGTACAAATACATGACAAAGTACAGAACAGTTATAGACAAGAACATTCAATTAAACAAAAAAAGGGGGTGCGGGTGGGGATGAGGTTGTGGTGGTGGGGTGGCAGAGGGGGGGAGACGGTCTGAGCCAGCTCTGGAGACGGTCTGAGCCATCTGGAATGCCCATCTGCTGAATGGCATGACAGTCCATTATAATACATCCATAACTCCCAGAGCTGCATAGGTGCTGTATGATTAACTATGTCACTAAATTTAAGTAAGCACACAATTTATTATGGTTTTGGGATAAAAGAGTGTATAAACAGCCCATATGTTGGTTTTAATAGATACAAATGAATAGTATGATTTTACATTTCCAGTTGTTAGCTCTAGGCCTATGGGAAAACAAAGATTACACGATTAAGACATACAGTATCTCACAAAAGTGAGTACCCCCCTCACATTTTTGTGAATATTTGAGTATATCTTTTCATGTGACAACACTGAAGAAATGACACTTTGCTACAATGTAAAGTAGTGAGTGTACAGCTTGTATAACAGTGTAAATTTGCTGTCCCCTCAAAATAACTCAACACACAGCCATTAATGTCTAAACCGCTGGCAACAAAAGTGAGTACACCCCTAAGTGAAAATGTTCAAATTGGGCCCAAAGTGTCAATATTTTGTGTGGCCTTAACTCTCTTGGGCATGGAGTTCACCAGAGCTTCACAGGTTGCCACTGGAGTCATCTTCCACTCCTCCATGACGACATCACGGAGCTGGTGGATGTTAGAGACCTTGCACTCCTCCACCTTCCGTTTGAGGATGCCCCACAGATGCTCAATAGGGTTTAGGTCTGGAGACATGCTTAGCAGGTCCATCACCTATACTCTCAGCTTCTTTAGCAAGGCAGTGGTCGTCTTGGAGGTTTGTTTGGGGTCGTTATCATGTTGGAATACTGGCCTGCGGCCCAGTCTCCGAAGGGAGGGGATCATGCTCTGCTTCAGTATGTCACAGTACATGTTGGCATTCATGGTTCCCTCAATGAACTGTAGCTCCCCAGTGCCGGCAGCACTCATGCAGCCCCAGACCATGACACTCCCACCACCATGCTTGACTGTAGGCAAGACACACTTGTCTTTGTACTCCTCACCTGGTTGCCGCCACACACGCTTGACACCATCTGAACCAAATAAGTTTATCTTGGTCTCATCAGACCACAGGACATGGTTCCAGTAATCCATGTCCTTAGTCTGCTTGTCTTCAGCAAACTGTTTGCGGGCTTTCTTGTGCATCATCTTTAGAAGAGGCTTCCTTCTGGGACAGCGTATGGTCTGAGCACTGACAGGCTGACCCCCCACCCCTTCAACCTCTGCAGCAATGCTGGCAGCACTCATACGTCTATTTCCCAAAGACAACCTCTGGATATGACGCTGAGCACGTGCACTAAACTTCTTTGGTCGACCATGGCGAGGCCTGTTCTGAGTGGAACCTGTCCTGTTAAACTGCTGTATGGTCTTGGCCACCGTGCTGCAGCTCAGTTTCAGGGTCTTGGCAATATTCTTATAGCCCAGGCCATCTTTATGTAGAGCAACAATTCTTTTTTTTCAGATCCTCAGAGAGTTCTTTGCCATGAGGTGCCATATTGAACTTCCAGTGACCAGTATGAGGGAGTGTGAGAGCAATGACACCAAATTTAACACACCTGCTCCCCATTCACACCTGAGACCTTGTAACACTAACGAGTCACATGACACCGGGGAGGGAAAATGGCTAATTGGGCCCAATTTGGACATTTTCACTTAGGGGTGTACTCACTTTTGTTGCCAGCGGTTTAAAGTTGGCATTAACATTAAAGTTATTTTGAGGGGACAGCAAATTTACACTGTTATACAAGCTGTACACTCACTACTTTACATTGTAGCAAAGTGTCATTTCTTCAGTGTTGTCACATGAAAAGATATACTCAAATACTTACAAAAATGTGAGGGGTGTACTCAATTTTGTGAGATACTGTATGACTTGGCCTTTAGAGAGTAAATATACCCTTTTGTCTCAATATTATCCAGCTTCAGCAGGCACTATCACATCCTAGTCCTTAACCCCAACCCAACAATAACCCCATCCCTTACCATAATCCCAATAGGACATCATTGTGCCTAGGACACCCGTGAGTCCGATTGTGGGGCATGAGCTTGTTTTCTATCTGCTGCAGTTGGAGGCTTCTCCCATTTGAATAACTGTCAGTGGAACATTAGGGCAACCTTGTTTAATATGATGGATATTACAACATGTAATTTATTCTACATTGATGAATGACTCATGTCTACTCCATTTCACTAAACACATACAAGGTGATGAGCTGCTATTTAGCACCAATTAAGTAGTCAACCATAGAGTAATAATAGGTTTGGTTGCATCGCATTGATAAGTAAAAGCACAATGGGTCAAACAAACTTCATATTGTAAATACAGAGATTATTATAGCAATGTCACATGTATAGCTGATAATTTGACAAATAAATATTATATTAATACCAGAATGGGAATTTTAAACCAAAGTCTTTGCGTATAGCCTATAGCCAAATGTGAATTGCAGAAAGTTGTTGTACTGTCACGCTCGTTTACAGACGGGACGGACCAAGGCGCAGCGTGATATGCATACATGTTTATTTATACTGAATAAACACCACGACAAAACAACAAATGAAACGAAACGTCCAAGGTAGACAAACAACATACCTCACACGGAACAAGATCCCACAACCCACTAGTGCCAATAGGCTGCCTAAGTATGGTCCCCAATCAGAGACAACGAGCGACAGCCGCCTCTGATTGGGAACCACACCGGCCAACATAGACCTAGACATAATAGAAACTACAACATAGACATACACAACATAGAAACTACGCACCCTGACTCAACATATACGAGTCCCCTGAGTCAGGGCGTGACAGTACCCGCCCCCCCCAAAGGTGCGGACTCCGACCGCGCAACATAAACATAACAGGGTAGGGGCCCGGTGGGCATTCCGCCTAGGAGGCGGATCCGGCTCAGGGCGTGACGACCTCTCACTCTTCGCCTCCCTGTTGCGCCCCTGGTCTGGTCTAGACCTCGGCGCGTTGCTTCCCCTCTCCTTCCTCCCACGATACGCCAGGCCCAGTCTGGACCCTGGTGTGGGAGACCCCGAACCTGGAGAGGGGCTGACGTCTGGGTCTGGACCGGAGCCGCTGACCGGAGCTGGACCGGGCACCGGTGGAGCGGACTGCACAGGCTCCGGACTGGAGCCGCTGGCCGGAGCTGGCCTGGGCACCGGTGGAGCGGACTGCTCTGGCTCCGGAGTGGAGCCGCTGACCGGATCTGGACTGGACCCCAGTGGAGCGGACTGCTCTGGCTCCGGAGTGGAGCAGCTGACCGGTGCCGGACCAGGCACCGGTGGAACAGGCACGGGCCGTGCTGGACTGGACACACGCACCACTGGCTTGGTGTGGGGAGCAGGAACGGGCCGTACCGGACTGGCGACGCGCACCACTGGCCTGGTGCGGGGAGCAGGAACAGGCCGGGCCGGGCTGGCGACGCGCACCACTGGCTTGGTGCGAGGGGCAGGAACAGGCCGGACCGGGCTGGCGACGCGCACCACAGGCTTGGTGCGAGGGGCAGGAACAGGCCGGGCCGGGCTGGCGACGCGCACCACTGGTTTGGTGCGAGGGGCAAGAACAGGCCGGGCCGGGCTGGCGACGCGCACCACTGGCTTGGTGCGAGGGACAGGAACAGGCCGGACCGGGCTGGCGACGCGCACCACTGGCTTGGTGCGAGGGGCAGGAACGGGCCGGGCCGGGCTGGCGACGCGCACCACTGGCTTGGTGCGAGGGGCAGGAACGGGCCGGGCCGGGCTGGCGACGCGCACCACTGGCTTGGTGCGAGGGGCAGGAACGGGCCGGGCTGGCGACGCGCACCACTGGCTTGGTGCAAGGGGCAGGAACGGGCCGGACCGGGCTGGCGACGCGCACCACTGGCTTGGTGCGAGGGGCAGGAACGGGCCGGGCCGGGCTGGCGACGCGCACCACTGGCTTGGTGCGAGGGGCAGGAACGGGCCGGACCGGACTGGCGACACGCACCACTTGCTTGGTGCGAGGAGCGGGACTGGGTTCCTTTATTAACCCCCGCTCCTTCTGCTGCCTAACCAGCTCCTCTCGCCGTGCCTCTACACTTTCCTTCTCCCTTTTAGCCTCCTGTAGCACCTCCCTCTGACCGAATAACTCCTGCTCCCTCTGAACCAATAGCCCCCGTAACATGGTGGCCTCCTCTCCTAACCTGCAGATCCGCCCTTTAACGGCCTCCTGCTGCCTCGTCGTCCACACCTTGTGCCCCCCCCAAAAAAAATTTCTTGGGGTTGCCTCTTGGGTCTCCGTCGTCGGCACTGTTGGTGCCGTTTCTCCTCTCCTACCTGGGCATCCTCCTTCATCGCCTTCCGGTAACGGACGGCATCCTCCTCCGTAATTCTCCCCCAACCGAGGAGGACATCTACTAATGTAACCTCCTGTTTAATTCCCGGCGTTTGCTCCTGAACACGCTGCTTGGTCCTCGTTTGGTGGGATCTTCTGTCACGCTCGTTTACAGACGGGATGGACCAAGGCGCAGCGTGATATGCATACATGTTTATTTATACTGAATAAACACCACGACAAAACAACAAATGAAACGAAACGTGAAGTCCAAGGTAGACAAACAACATACCTCACACGGAACAAGATCCCACAACCCACTAGTGCCAATAGGCTGCCTAAGTATGGTCCCCAATCAGAGACAACGAGCGACAGCCGCCTCTGATTGGGAACCACACCGGCCAACATAGACCTAGACATAATAGAAACTAAAACATAGAAATACACAACATAGAAACTACGCACCCTGACTCAACATATACGAGTCCCCTGAGTCAGGGCGTGACAGTACCCGCCCCCCCCCAAAGGTGCGGACTCCGACCGCGCAACATAAACATAACAGGGTAGGGGCCCGGTGGGCATTCCGCCTAGGAGGCGGATCCGGCTCAGGGCGTGACGACCTCTCACTCTTCGCCTCCCTGTTGCGCCCCTGGTCTGGTCTAGACCTGGGCGTGACATGTACCTATGTGATTTGCTGTAGAATAGATTAATATAATAGCTATATACAGTTCTTGAGATCTATGTTTCAATTAGTGTAGGTTCCATTTCCTTATATTCAACATAAATTCATGATGAGGAATATTGTAGAACTGACTATTGCAAAGTGGGCACTCTAATGCCAGGGTTATAGAGTTGATACAGGGAATTAAATCATTAATTTCAGTCCGTCTTAAATGAGCTACAGTGCATTCGGAAAGTATTCAGACCCTTTGACTTTTTCCACATTTTGTTACGTTATAGTCTTATTCTAAAATTGATTAAATTGTATTTTTTCCTCATCAATCCACACACAATACCCCATACTGACAAAGCAAAAACAGGTTTAGAAATTTTTGCAACAAAAAAATAATAATAATAACTGAAATATCACATTTACATAAGTATTCAGACCCTTTACTCAGTACTTTGTAGAAGGACCTTTGGCAGCGATTACAGCCTCATGTCTTCTTGGGTATGACGCTACAAGCTTGGCACACCTGTATTTGGGGAGTTTCTCCCATTCTTCTCTGCAGATCCTCTCAAGCTCTGTCAGTTTGGATGGGGAGCGTCGCTGCACAGCTATTTTCAGGTCTCTCCAGAGATGTTCGATCGGGTTCAAGGCCGGGCCCTGGCTGGGCCACTCAATGACATTCAGAAACTTGTCCCGAAGGCCACTCCTGCGTTGTCTTGGCTGTGTGCTTAGGGTCGTTGTCCTGTTGGAATATGAACCTTTGCCACAGTCTGAGGTTCTGAGCGCTCTGGAGCAGGTTTTCATCAAGGATCTCTCTGTACTTTGCTCCGTTCATCTTTCTCTCTATCCTGACTAGTCTCCCAGTCCCTGCTGCTGAAAAACATCCCCACAGCATGATGCTGCCACCACCATGCTTCACCATAGGGATGGTGCCAGGTTTCCTCCAGACGTGAAGCTTGGCATTCAGGCTAAAGAGTTCAATCTTGGTTTCATCAGACCAGAGAATCTGGTCTGAGAGTCTTTAGCTGCCTTTTGGCAAACTCCAAGCGGGCTGTCATGTACGTTTTACTGAGGAGTGGCTTCTGTCTGGCCACTCTACCATAAAGGCCTGATTGGTGGAGTGCTGCAGAGATGGCTGTCCTTCTGGATGGTTTTCCCATCTCCACAGAGGAACTCTGGAATTCTGTCAGAGTGACCATCTGGTTCTTGTTCACCTCCCTGACCAAGGCCCTTCTCCCCCGATTGCTCAGTTTGGCCGGGCGGCCAGCTCTAGGAAGAGTCTTGAAGGTTCCTAACTTCTTCCATTTAAGAATGATGGAGGCCACTGTGTTCTTGGGGACCTTCAATGCTGCAGACATTTTTTGGAACCCTTCCCCAGATCTGTGCCTCGACACAATCCTGTCTCTGAGCTCTATGGACAATTCCTTCGACCTCATGGCTTGGTTTTTGCTCTGACAGGCACTGTCAACTGTGGGACCTTATATAGACAGGTGTGTGCCTTTCCAAATCATGTCCAATCAATTGAATTTAACACAGGTGGACTCCAATCAAGTTGCAGAAACATCTCAAGGATGATCAATAGAAATACGATGCACCTGAGCTCAATTTCGGGTCTCATAGCAAAGGGTCTGAATACTTATGTAAATAAGATATTTCCGTTTTTTATTTTTAATACATTTGCACAATAAGGCTGTAATGTAAATGTTCTTAGAAAAAGTTAAGGGGTCTGAATACTTTCCGAATGCTGTATGTGCTAACACTGCCATTTTGTATTACTCATTCCAATACCCTTATTGAATTGAGAGTACGTAAGCCTATTTGATGTGTGTCTATTTGACCCCGTGTGCACCACTGCACTAGCAGGGCAGGAATTAGAAGTTTAGAGCTGTTGTTGTTGGTTGACTTTGCTATTTTTATCGCTTCTGATTTAATTAGCTATTCTCCTGTATAATGTTCTCCCCCATGTTTAAACAGCGACCTGTGTTGTTTAGTCTTTAGGTGATACATTATTACCTACAAGTGAGAACCATCAAAGTGTTCCTTGAGGGGAAAATGACCATGTTTCTAATTATATTAACACAGATGTCGGCCTAAAGACAATTTCTTTCTCCTTCATGTTCACTGACAATGTGTTTATTTCACACAACATCAAACTTGTCTTCGCACCATTGGCATTTGGCCAGAAGCCTGCATTGTCCTTCCCTGTAGATGTTGTGACATATACAGTATATATACACTGGTCAAAAAAATAAAGGGAACACTAAAATAACACATCCTAGATCTGAATGAATGAAATAATCTTATTAAATACTTTTTTCTTTACATAGTTGAATGTGCTGACAACAAAATCACACAAAAATTATCAATGGAAATCAAATTTATCAACCCACGGAGGTCTGGATTTGGAGTCACCCTCAAAATTAAAGTGGAAAACCACACTACAGGCTGATCCTGATGAGGTGGCGGATGGTCTCCTGAGGGATCTCCTCCCAGACCTGGACTAAAGCATCCGCCAACTCCTGGACAGTCTGTGGTGCAACGTGGCGTTGGTGGATGGAGCGAGACATGATGTCCCAGATGTGCTCAATTGGATTCAGGTCTGGGGAACGGGCGGTCCATAGCATCAATGCCTTCCTCTTGCAGGAACTGCTGACACACTCCAGCCACATGAGGTCTAGCATTGTCTTGCATTAGGAGGAAGCCAGGGCCAACCGCACCAGCATATGGTCTCACAAGGGGTCTCAGGATCTCATCTCGGTACCTAATGGCAGTCAGGCTACCTCTGGCGAGCACATGGAGGGCTGTGCGGCCCCCCAAAGAAATGCCACCCCACACCATCACTGACCCACCGCCAAACCGGTCATGCTGGAGGATGTTGCAGGCAGCAGAACGTTCTCCACGGCATCTCCAGACTCTGTCACGTCTGTCACATGTGCTCAGTGTGAACCTGCTTTCATCTGTGAAGAGCACAGGGCACCAGTGGCGAATTTGCCAATCTTGGTGTTCTCTGGCAAATGCCAAACGTCCTGCACGGTGTTGGGCTGTAAGCACAACCCCCACCTGTGGACGTCGGGCCCTCATACCACCCTCATGGAGTCTGTTTCTGACCGTTTGAGCAGACACATGCACATTTGTGGCCTGCTGGAGGTCATTTTGCAGGGCTCTGGCAGTGCTCCTCCTGCTCCTCCTTGCACAAAGGAGGTAGCAGTCCTGCTGCTGGGTTGTTGCCCTCCTACGGCCTCCTCCACGTCTCCTGATGTACTGGCCTGTCTCCTGGTAGCGCCTCCATGCTCTGGACACTACGCTGACAGACACAGCAAACCTTCTTGCCACAGCTCGCATTGATGTGCCATCCTGGATGAGCTGCACTACCTGAGCCACTTGTGTGGGTTGTAGACTGCGTCTCATGCTACCACTAGAATGAAAGCACCGCCAGCATTCAAAAGTGACCAAAACATCAGCCAGGAAGCATAGGAACTGAGAAGTGGTCTGTGGTCACCACCTGCAAAACCAGTCCTTTATTGGGGGTGTCTTGCTAATTGCCTATAATTTCCACCTGTTGTCTATTCCATTTGCACAACAGCATGTGAAATGTATTGTCAATCAGTGTTGCTTCCTAAGTGGACAGTTTGATTTCACAGAAGTGTGATTGACTTGGAGTTACATTGTGTTGTTTAAGTGTTCCCTTTATTTTTATTTTGAGCAGTGTATATAATGATGGCTTGTTTGTCACCATGCTGTTTAACCTTTGCCATCATAGTATACATAAAATGCTGGGGGAGTCATTTCTCTCTGTCACCCTGTAACATTGTCTAGAAGTCAAGTGTCAGCACTGTTGTCTTTACTTGGGCCCCAAATATATGGGAGATATTTAAAGCCTAACTGGAGTTGAACTAAGTTGGCATGGCTGTCTTTTTTCAGTGTTTTTTCAAACACTTTTGTGTCAGGTTATCACTTCTTATGTGCATGCCGTTAATGGGAATGCAATGTGACACTGTCTGACACTCTTTTGTTCCATACAGTATATTGGTGGTAATTGAGGGGGGCAGTCAATACTGCCCTGGCAAAGCTAACCTTCACCACTCCTGTGTATTCCTTCCTTTTTTCTGCAGAATGATCCCGTCCACCAGTAAGACCTTTCTGATCAACGACCTGGCGGCAGGGCGTGAGTATGACCTGTGTGTCCTGGCAGTGTACGACGACGGCATCACCTCTCTGACGGCCACGCGCGTGGTGGGCTGCGTCCAGTTCCACACGGCCAGTGAGGTCAGCCAGTGCCGCTTCATCCACAGCCAGTTTCTGGGCGGCACCATGATAATCATCATTGGCGGCATCATTGTGGCCTCAGTGCTGGTATTTATCATCATCCTCATGATCCGCTACAAGGCCCACAGCTGCCCAGAGGACAGCAAGGTCAAGGTCAGCTCCAGCATGCACTCCCAGACCAACGGCAGCCAGCACAGACTCCAGCGCTCCACCTCCAAACAGCCTGCTGAGGACAGCCACCAGAGAGAAGCCCTACCGGTTGCAGCCAAGGAGTGCATGGCCCTGGTGCTGAAGGTGGACAGTGACAAGAAGGAGTGGGACACCCCTCTGGCCACCACAGCCATCCTGGAAGTGGAGCTGCCCCCCCTGCCCACGGACAAGGTGAAGAGGACCAGCCTGGACGCACAGCGCTCTGGATCTGGCCCCCCGTCGGAGGACACACAGACAGACAGCAGCCTGACGGGCTCCACCATGTCCTTGTGTCTCCTAGGCCCCAACGCCGGCACCAAGGAGGCCCCCAGGCTCAAGGACAAGAAGAGCGCCCTGGCCAACATGGGGTTTAATAACGAGCTGGCACGAACTAGGCACAGGTTCAGCTTTGACGGGGGAGACTACTCCATATTTCAGAGCCACAGTTACCCCCGCAGAGCGCGGACGAGGCGGCACAAGTCTACAAACCAGCTCAACGTGGAGTCCTCGCCGCTGGCCAACCGGAGAGTCACTTTCAGCAGCACTGAATGGATGCTGGAGAGCACAGTGTAAGAGATACAGCCTGGCCTCTCTGGCTCTCTCAAAGACACACACACACCAACAGTTTGACACATACACCCTCATGCATACACATTTACACATCTAACAAATACAGTTACATGCATACACACACAGACTCTCAGAGAGTTGCTGGAGAAGAACACAGTCTCCTTCCATCCTGCCTCCCGTCATATTCCCAGAGCGACAGAGAGTTGTCGGCCATTTCATTATTTTATGCAGCAGTGCCTTATTCTAAAATATGTACGAATGGAGGATGCTGCTCGCTGTAGTCATAAACCTTCCTTTCTATCATGGTTTCCCCCTGTTTCATGGGGAGTGTTGCTTTTTTTCTATGACTTTCCAAGGGGTGGGGCAAATGTGACTTTTCCTTTTAATGTTAAAAAAAAAAACATCACACTGTAAAGTGAACAACCAGGTATTCCGTATGTTGATCATCCTTTGGGTTCTTTCAAAGACTTTTGCACACGAAGACACGACGATATGAGGACAAGTATCACACCAGTCTATACAATAATAAAAAGATTATAGATCTATACACATGCCGATTTCAAATGTTAGTATAAAGAGGATGGACCTGATAAACCTGTGGATTCCTCCATGCTGGTTGGACTGTATGATATTACTTGGTATTGTTCCTGATGTGACTGTATGATATTAATCGGTATTGTATCTGGCTGGTCTAGATAAAAAGACAACAAAAAAATACATATAGAAGTATATTAAAAACATTGGTGTATGTGTACTAATAACTATGTAAGTAAGTCATATGTCCCAACTTTTTACTGAGCATTTGAGTGTTGGTCACAAGTTTTTACATTAAAAATCTGTGTCATCACACTTCCCCCTATTTAGTATGACATGGTTTGGACCACTTATCCCTTATGAGAGGGTATTAAATTTTTTGTGTGGGTTAACTGTACCGGTTGTGCACTGTGTCCTTTTCTTATGGTCATCCTGGATCCTTTCATCAATGTCATGAAAGCTGCTTGCACATGGATCAGTGAGAAGGTCTATATGCATGAAGGCATGTATCTTATCATATATTAAGATATATCATATCTTGTGCCTGTTGAGACAAACTTGTGGGAGACTTCAGGGGTCTCAAAGGAAGCTGTTCTGAAAGTATACAATCATCAGGTCGGAAAAAAAAAGTTGTTTTATTTGTCACAAATAAATTATTTATTCTGATGTTGAATCCAAAATAATACATTCTTTATTCTGATGTTGAATTCAGAAGAAGCCATGAGTAATTAAATCCTCAGGGTCTACTACACTGATTGAGCCACCAGGTGGAGACAACGGGCAATAGATACAGGATAATAGACACTGTAGGCCTCCTAGTCTTTTCACTAAATAATACATTAACCTTGTACAGCGTGATGATCATTAAGGAGAAAGGAATGAACTTGAAAAGATACCTTCTAGCAGTGGCCTGCTCTCTACATTACAATGAAACTCAAACCAGTTTTAGACAATAGCACCTTTTTCAGCAGGTCTCTTAAAGGAGTTTAAATAGAAATTTCCAAATGTACAAATTCTCATTCAGTGCTGATCTATTCCATTTTCTTGCACATTGCATCTGCAGTGAGTACTGTAGAAACTGAACACTAGAGGGAAACGGTACAACATTTTTACAATGTTCTATTGTAAATGATACCCAGTTATGGACATATTCAACCAAAGGGGCATATGGAAGCAATATTTCATGTAGAATTGGATGCATGAAGAGTACAATTCATGCTCTCAAGCTCATGGAATAGAAAGGCTATAGGCCTACTGAGAAGAATAGTAAATGATAGTCATGTAGATATCCTGTAGTCAAAACAAGACATGAGATTCATGTGATATGTCCTTCATGTCTAAACGTGTGGTGTGATAACTAGAGCACATTTTCAAAAAACAACAAAATATGCTTTTTATTTTTCAATGTTGTCCCACCTGACATTCCGTTAAATCCTGACTACCATAAATTACAAAAGTTGTAAAAATAAATACAGAATAAAAAAGCAGAAACTCACTAACTGTAAGTCACTCTGGATAAGAGCGTCTGCTAAATGACTAAAAAATGACTAAGCTAGGACACTATGAGACAAGGTTCTACAGTCAATCAGTTTGTCAAGAGGTGGAATTAGGTGGCTTTCCTTGAGTCCATATTTGTGCAGTGTCAGCTCACTATCTGAGCACTGCAGCAGCACAAGTAAAAGAAGAAGAGGTGAGGTATTGCTGAATGCCCTAGGGGAGGAGAACACAGGTTTGTGCTCAGCAGTACACAGAAAGAGAAGTACAACACAGAGGAAGGTCGTAAAGGGAAGAAGAGCGATATGCTTTCCCCTGCCAGTAGGTCTGTTCAAAAGTTGTATTTGTACTTTAGCCAATTCCTCGGTTGCCTTGTCGTTGGATAAATCACAAACATCTCTAGCAACTAGCTATGGTGATGGCCGTGTTCACAAGAAATCTAGTGGGAAACATTGGACACTAAAGTGGAAGTGGGGTGTAACTGAATGCTTCGCACCACCCCTTTTCAGCAACTGAAAGGGGCTGGGCAGTATGAGGGTACAGGTTACTCGCTGCCAACGGAAAAAGGTTCAATCCTCAGAACTGTGCTCCGATTTGTCCTCTCCTGCTTTCCAGTTTTTCCTCCTCTTCTTGTGTGACTCTGGTCCTGAGTCTCTGTGGGAGTCCCTCTGTCGTTTCCTCCTTCTACCTCTCTCCTCATCATTGTCCTCCGAGCTGCTCTCCTCCTCTCTTCCTCTCTCACTATTTTTCCTCTTATGTTTGCTCTTGCTGCTTTTCCTCTTCTGTTTCTGTTTGACACCGTCGCTCTTGTCGCTGCTGGACTCACTGTCTGACTCACCTGTCCTCCTTCGCTTTTCCTCTTCCTTCTTTTTCTTCTTCTTCGAGGATTTCTTCAAATGTTTTGATTTGGCTGTTTTAAGTCTGGACTTAGTATTTTTCTTTCTGCAAATCACATTCTGGTCATCACCACGGCCTCTTTCCCTGAAACGACAAATCAGGCATTATAACAATGCAACATTTATTGTATTGAAGCAAATAGTGAGATCCTTACTACAGCTACTACTGTTATGAGTCATGGTATTTCATGTTAATGCAGTTCATGTCTTACCAGTCACTTTTAAACTCATCTGGATATAGCTCCTTAAAACCACTGTGTCCCCATCTGTAGAGGAAACATGCACAGTACCAATGACATCCACCTTTCATAGCATGTCGTCGTTTGTCAACTCAAACACAAACTTATGAACTCACAAGGCTATAATACTACAGAGTTGTAGATAGAAAAGGGATGCACCTGTCTGGATCATTGGCCTCGAAGTCATAGAGTTTCTTGGTCCAGTAGCGTGCCTCCCTCTCGTCCTGGCCAGAGCTGTGTTCTCTTCTCTGCAGCCGGTCTCCCAGTCGGTCTACAGACCCATCCTCCACATGATCACAGTGCATGTGACTCCTGAGGAATAGACAACATGGGTAAACTCTAATTCTGATGTCTGTCAACCTGTTCCATTTAACACGCTTCTAAGCTATTGTAAGGCTCCATCCCGATTATCCACCGTTCTCTCAAAACGTGCACTTGCACACTTCCCATCATGGCCAGGTCGCAGTTGTAAATGAGAACTTGTTCTCAACTGGCTTACCTGGTTAAATAAAGGTGTAATAAATAAAAAATTAAATGGATCTAACAATGGTGGAAACTGCCTCCAACCAATGATTACACAAATACAAAGTTTTTAAATCCATGACGGGAAGTAAGTGCACACTTTGGGAAAAGGGTGGTGAATCGGGATGCAAGCCTAAGATAGCTAGCTATCACCGGCTGATGTATCAGGCTAACACTAACGCTATGTACCATCTGAGACAATGCAATGTAATTATTTGGAAAGCCTCCTCTCAGGACCTCTACAAGCCAGAATGTTGAATAAAATGACATTTTAACTTATTCTACCGGTTGTCTGGGTGGTTGGTCCTTATGCAGCTGAAATTTGAGACAATAGCCTATATCCACTGGAAAGTATCATTAAACCACCTTTTCAAAACACTAGTAGTGCATTCAGATTTCTATCACCTGAAGCATATGCATGCGATGCATGCATACTAGCTGAGCTCGTGCACGTGTTTACATGGTTTTACACACTCCAAATAATTACATTGCACTGTCTCAGACGGTACATAGCATTAGTGTTAGCTAGCCATCACCAGCTGATGTATCAGGCTACACTACTTCAATTCTCGAACAGTGAGCGGACCTGGATGGATTTGAGGCTGGTGGCATCGGTCTGTGGCTGGTGGACGGCCCCTTCTCCATCCCCCTCAACTTCCACATCTCTGACTCCTCCTGGATCTGAAACGGACCACATCTATCATCAGGAGAGTACAAAGCCACACACACAGATTAGCCAACTCTCCCACTCTCACCTTGTTGTGGGCATCTGTGTGACGAATAACATTTCGCAGCAGCACCTTGCCCATCGGCACCCTGGACATGATGATACCTGCAAGTAGAGAAAAGGTATAAGGTACTGTACACACAACACTGAATTACATTGACAGCAATATACTTGGCCTGGGGTCACACTGCAAACAGGTCAGGACAGGTGCATTGGAGAAGATATTTTGTTTCAAATTCCCCTGTCATAATCACCAACCATCCTGCCCACCAGCACAGTAAGTTGAAATGGAATAGTATTTAACTTCCCACAGACTGTTTTTGTGCTTCCAATACAATTGAAAGCAACTCTGGTGTTAGCCCAATATTGGACTAAATAAAGGTGCCTAATGTTGTTCCTTAGTCCAAGGACCTTACATGTTCTGTTTATAGGGAGAATTGCCTCTGGAAGCCAAAAATCTAAACATAAATCAATTGCAGTACAACTCTACAAACATAAATCATTGTACTTTCATATCACATCAAAATAATTTCACAAACATAAAAAGACACACTTACTCTGCAGTGGAGGCTGCTGATGGGAGGACGGCTCATAATAATGGGTGAAACGGAGTGAATGGAATGGCAAACAACACGTTTGATGTATTTGATACTATTCCACTCCACCAATTACCAAGAGCCCGTCCTCCCCAATTAAGGTGCCGCCAACCTACTGTGCTGCACACTGTTTTAACACTAGTGCAGCCGACAGTATTTTTCTGTGACAACACGTTTGTGGCGTCTGTCTTCGGTTTACACACAGGTGTTCGGAGACGCAGATAGCTAATTAGCACAGGTAGTCTACTCTTCCGTATGGTTTCTGTAAACAAACTCGTGTAGGAACCCTAACAAGGTGTGCGTCAATTTAAACTTGTTTTTTGACATATTCATCGCCGACATGAAAGGTCCTTATGCTTCCAAAACCGTGCCGCAAGCGATGCATGTTAACGTTCTGGCCGAGCTTCACGGCTCTGACAAAACTCCCCCTACAGAAGACGCCTTCGTCCAATGATTTATGTGTTATGTAATGGAAGGGCATGGTCAAGGGCTACACTAGTGTATGTAAATACACCCGCGTTGCTAAAAGCACCTACTAGCTAGCTATGAAGCTACAGCTGGTTCGCAACACGTTTAGCTGGCTAGCAAATCACAACTAGCTAAGAGATCACAACCTAGCTACAACTGGCTAGCGTTAATTAACGGGTACTTTTATCAACAAGAGCTTTGCTAGTTAAAAATTCTGAACGATGAGAAATGAAGATATTAATCCTATATCGCTCATTACAAACTTGATTCAATATTTATTAATCAGAATTACCGTTTGATCTTTAACGTTTACTAATAAAAATACACAACCAGATGACTTCTCTGTCCGTGGCGTACAGCGGAAGAAATACATGGGTAATAACCTTCTGTATAATCCCGCCCATGTGGGACTTGTGTACGTCACAGGACGACTAGGACGCTGATTGGTTAAGTGTCTGTCAATCATTGGTATCCAAGTAAAACATTGGTGGAGGGGCCAAAGAGGTGGTGGATGTGGTGATTGAGAAATTGCACAAATTCACTCTCTGTGAGCCAGTTGTTCTTACTTGGTAATTCTAGTCAAATGGCTATTAAAGGCCAAGCTACATGGCATCTCACTAGCCACTATCCACTGTATTCATCACACCTAGGTCTTTAGGGCCGATATCATCTGAATAAAATGCAATGATTACATGTAGTAGGTTATGTAGCCTATTATGATTGACTACATTTCTAACAATAACCTATTTCCTAATTAGCACAGATGGTTTGACACACAACGATACAGAAGGCCTATCCACGACATTTCAGTGTAGGCTCTGAAGCATTGAGAAAATGTCCTCAGTCTTTTGCATTATGAACTGTTGTACTACTGTTGTGTATAGAAGCGTGATACACTTTTCATACTGTTATGGACACAATAGAAAACAGATAGCAATGAGCTGTGTTTGAGAAACGTTGTTGACTGATGCAAGGAATGGGTTTTATAACAACAACAGACAGTTTTGTCAATGGATGTGCCCTGTTCCCCCTCAGGAGGCTTAAAAGATTTGGCATGGGCCTTCAGATCCTCAAAAAGTTATACAGCTGCACCGTTGAGAGCATCTTGACTGGCTGCATCACCGCTTGGTACGCCAACTGTAAGGCACCCGACCGCAAGCGCTACAGAGGGTGATGAGTATGGCCCAGTACATCACTGGGGCCGAGCTCCTGCCATCCAGGACCTCTATACCAGGCAGTGTCAGAGGAAGGCCCAAAAAAGTTTAAAAGGCTCCAGCCACCCAAGCCATAGACTGTTCTTTCTGCTATCACATGGCAAGTGGTACCAGTGCACTAAGTCTGGATCCAACAGGACCCTGAACAGCTTCTACCCCCAAGCCATAAGACTTCTAAACAAGACTGCTAAATAGCTAATCAAATGGCTACCCGGACTACCTGCATTAACTCTTTTTTTGCACTAACTCTCTTGCACTGACTCTATGCACACACACTGGACTCTATCCACACACACAAATACTTACACTGACACACAAACACACACACAACACACACACATACTACATATGCTCACACACACATAGCATACGCACAAATGCATAATGATGCCACACACACACACTCACGCGCAATTTCACACTAGCTACCTCAATTACTTCGTACCCCTGCACATCGACTCGGTACTGGTACTCCCTGTATATAGCCATGTTATTACCTGGTACTCCCTGTATATAGCCATGGTATTACCTGGTACTTCCTGTAAATAGCCATAGTATTACCTGGTACTCCCTGTATTTAGCCATGTTATTACCTGGTACTCCCTGTATTTAGCCATGTTATTACCTGGTACTCCCTGTATATAGCATATGGTATTACCTGGTACTCCCTGTATATAGCCATGTTATTACCTGGCACTCCCTGTATATAGCCATGGTATTACCTGGCACTTCCTGTATATAGCCATAGTATTACCTGGTACTTCCTGTATATAGCCATAGTATTACCTGGTACTCCCTGTATATAGCCATGTTATTACCTGGTACTTCCTGTATATAGCCATGTTATTACCTGGTACTTCCTGTATATAGCCATGTTTACATTTTACATTTACATTTTAGTCATTTAGCAGACGCTCTTATCCAGAGCGACTTACAGTTAGTGAATACATATTTTTTTTATACTGGCCCCCCGTGGGAATCAAACCCACAACCCTGGCGTTGCAAACGCCATGCTCTATCAACTGAGCTACATCCCTGCTGGCCATTCCCTCCCCTACCCTGGACGACGCTGGGCCAATTGTGCGCCGCCCATGAGTCTCCCGGTCGCGGCCGGCTGCGACAGAGCCTGGATTCGAACCAGGATCTCTAGTGGCACAGATTAGCACTGCGATGCAGTGCCTTAGACCACTGCGCCACTCAGGAGACATGTTATGACCTGGGACCTCCTGTATATAGCCATGTTATGACCTGGGACCTCCTGTATATAGGGTTCAATTCTTGGGCCGACACTTTTCTCCGTGTATATCAATGATGTCGCTCTTGCTGCTGGTGACTCTCAGATCCACCTCTACGCAGACGACACCATTTTGTATACATCTGGCCCTTCATTGGACACTGTGTTAACAAACCTCCAAACAAGCTTCAATGCCATACAACACTCCTTCAGTAGCCTCCAACTGCTCTTAAACACTAGTAAAACTAAATGCATGCTTTTCAATCGAACGCTGCTGGCACCCGCCCACCCGACTAGAATCACCACTCTCGACGGGTCTGACCTAGAGTATGTGGACAACTACAAATACCTAGGTGTCTGGTTAGACTGTAAACTCTCCTTCCAGACTCACATTAAGAATCTCCAATCCAAAGTTAAGTCTAGAATCGGCTTCCTATTTCGCAACAAAGCCTCCTTCACTCATGCTGCCAAACATGCCCTCGTAAAACTGACTATCCTACCGATCCTTGACTTCGGCGATGTCATTTACAAAATAGCCTCCAACACTCTACTCAGCAAACTGGATGTAGTCTATCACAGTGCCATCCATTTTGTCTCCAAAGCCCCATACACTACCCACCACTGTGACCTGTACGCTCTTGTTGGCTGGTCCTCACTACATGTTCGTCGTCAAACCCACTGGCTCCAGGCCATCTATAAATCACTGCTAGGCAAATCCCCGCCTTATCTTAGCTCATTGGTCACCATAGCAGCACCCACCCGTAGTCTGCGCTCCAGCAGGTATATCTCACTGGTCATTCCCAAAGCCAACACCTCCTTTGGCCGCCATTCCTTCCAGTTCTCTGCTGCCAATGACTGGAATGAATTGCAAAAATCTCTGAAGCTGGAGACTCTTATCTCCCTCACTAACTTTAAGCATCAGTTGTCAGAGCACCTTACCGATCACTGCACCTGTACACAGCCCATCTGAAATTAGCCCACCCAACTACCTCATCCCTATATTGTTATTTATTTTGCTCTTTTGCACCCCAGTATCTCTATTTGCACATAATCTCATGCACATCTAGCATTCCAGTGTTAATACTATTGTAATTATTTTGCACTATAGCCTATTTATTGCCTTACCTCCATAACTTGCTACATTTGCACCACTGTATATATATTTTCTGTTGTATCTTTTACTTTTTTTTTTTTTTACCCCATATGTAACTCTGTGTTGTTTTTATTGCACTGCTTTGCTTTATCTTGTCCAGGTCGCAGTTGTAAATGAGAACTTGTTCTCAACTGGCTTACCTGGTTAAATAAAGGTGAAATAAATAAAAATAAAATAAAATAGCCATGTTATTACCTGGTACTTCCTGTATATAGACATGTTATTTTTACTCGTCATTGTATTTTGTTATTCACTGTGTATTTATTCCTTGTGTCAATATTTCTATTTTCTATTATTATTATTTTTATATTTCACTCTGCATTGTTGGAAAAGGACCCGTAAGTAAGCATTTCACTGTAAGTCTACACCTGTTGTTTACAAAGCATGCTAAATGGCATATTATTATTATTATTATTATTATTATTATTATTATTATTATTATTATTATGTGACAAATAAAAATGTGATTTGATTTAATGGGGCAAATATGATACTTAGTTACAAGAACAACTCAATCCCTACCCCCTGATGCTGCTGCTAGGGCCCAAAAGAGTAAACACGTATCATTACCATTCCATGTCACACAAAGCCTTTTGTCTTCATTGCCTCCCTTATTCAAACCAAGATGATCCCAATTTCCCACAGCTTTGGTCAGGCTGGTAATATTGTGTTGTGCATGTGCCCTATCTGTCTAAAATCAACAACAAAAAAATATAAAATGTATTTGAACTCAGGTTGTGATTATTTGATCTAATAGAAAACGTATGCTTATTTATGCAAATCATATAGTTGATGTCACATGCTATCATTATAGCTTTAAAATACTATTATTATCCGTGCTTAAGCATTATATGGCCCAGTGTCCTCTATCTGGTTGTTTGAGGTACTCACTCTAAGATAATATATCATTACCCACTCACACATGCTTCAACTTGTTTGACATGGCTCCATGCAAACCTGTGATTTAGAATCAGCCAAAAATGGCTCAGTTGGAAACCACATACCACACAGTGTTAGTTTAGAATATACTGTAGATTAACAACACAATGTAAATGAGATATGCCCAATTTCAGCTACAGTAGCAGCACATACAGACCCCCTCCTGCTCTAGTGAGAGGGGAAGAGTGTGGGAGGGGGAGGTATGAAAGAGAGTGTGGGAGGGGGAGGGTAAACACTCAGACAGAGCCATGTCTGACAGCCTTGCTGCTCACTGAAAGAACAACGGACAGGGGAAAAAGCCTGTGCGGCTGAGCATGAGAAAAACAGTGAGGAGGGAGGAACGAAGATATAGGGTGAGGGTGAGAGAACGCAAGAGAGAAAATATATGGAGGAGGAGAGCTCAGCCACAGCAGGAGTGTGTTCTGAAAAACCAGGCAGAATTAAACCGCTGGTGAGCCTGAACACCAATCCTCTCCATTCTGCCACAGGCTGGGAGGGATTGAGCCTGGATTTCCATTGGGTTATTCCAGGGAGTGATTTAGAGAAAAGTCCAGGGCTGTTGGTTAGGATTTGTAGCTTTATTTAGGGAATATGCTGGAGAGGATTTGAACACGCTGTTCGCTGTTATTGCAAATTGCACACAGTAGTGTCTGCGACGTGGAGGCTCAGTCTGCTGGTTAGTGTTGGCAGTGCTGCTCCCACCCCTGCTGCTAGGGTTGTTTTGGGGCTATGTTTCTGACTGATTAGGGCAGCATCACCCACATGCAGGGCAGAGGCTGAATGGGAGGTAAAGAGTGCAACTAACCAGCATGGGAGCCAAACAGATGAAATGGTAAGAGTTGGATTTCACAAATGATATGCAATATCTCTTGATTTACATAACATAACTGTCTCTCTCCCTCTCGTTGTTACAATCAGTGGTTGTAATATAGAAATGCAGTGTTTGTTCATTGACCATTGCCTTGACAGTAATATGCTACCTTTACAGTGACGGGAGTGGCTATGACACCTCGATACAGTGCAAGCACTATGTCATTTAGAAGATGTCATTTCTTTGTCTAATCAATCTTATGTTACACGTGTTAGATAAACTAATCAGAGTGTGATAGCTTGTAGAAATTGAGTAGTTCACATAATTTTAGGGCTGGGCTTTCGCTTTTGGCTTTTGTCTGAATGTAGGTGTGGGTGTGCCTCTCTGGTATGGATACTGTGCGTCCGTGTAGGTGTTTGTCTGGAAGAGGATCTATAGTCTTATGTGAATGAATGAGTGACATTGCCGGCAAACTACAGTGTTTGGCATTGCTGTGATATCCATTTGCAGATCGGCTCACATCTCAGATTTACTTTGATCAGACTGATTAGCATCACACTGTATATGAGCATGTCCAATCTCACATGGTGTTTTAGTGTTATACAGTATTTAGTTCCAGAGATTAGGATAATTTCTGTTTAATATTTGCCCACCATAGTGGAGGTTTTATTTCCAACCCCAAATATATTGACAGTAAATACAAAAATGACAGTATACTGTAAAATAGGCCACAGGTACATTTGATCCTCTTTCAGAGATAACATTGAAAAGTTAAAGCAATGCACATTCAGTTAAATTGAAGACAGATTTGAATTAAAAACATATTATTATTTCAAGAGGATTTACTTTATTTTATATAAAGGGATTACAAGAGACATTCAAAGGCCAGATATGCTGAAGTGAAGCTCATCTCTTGCTAATCTCAGTGGCTAATCTTGGTATCTCTACTGTATGTTGTTGTTTCAGTTGGCACAACAAATCAGCAGGGTACATCTTTTAAGGGTTATCCACAGAAATTACAATATGTACCTATAACAAACTACACCCAGGACAAAGGAAAGGCGTGCCACGATAGAGAGACTTACACAGAACATTGGTTGGCATGTACTTCATACTTCTTTGCCTGTAGTTCTTATTTACATTTACATCATTTAGCAGACGTTCTTATCCAGAGCGACTTAAAAATTGGTGCATTCAATTTATTACAATATTATTTTAATTGAGTTGCAGTGTTCATCAATGGGGAGTACTTAGGGATAACTACTTCAGTAGAATCAGATAAGATGGCCACCAGACCACAGAGGCTCTGTTTATGTAACCTACTGTCCCTGTTTCTCAGCAGCTCAGTAGAATCAACAAAGTAGGCCCCTTATGACAGAAAACGTCCCAAACTTCCTGAATATGATAACTAAATGGTATAACCTAATTCTCACAACTCTATTCAAGTCATCATACTGTATCTACGAGACAGTACATCCCTACCAACTCAATTACATATCAATCCAAGCAAGCATTATGTGGTACCTGCCTCCACATACAGTACTAATAATTTACAGCTGAGGCACAGTAAGAGAGCACATACAGACCGTCCTGTTACCCAATTAACCCTAACTAATCTCCCTCTGTTCACAGTATTAGCGAATGGATAAAGGGTGGATAAAGGGAAATTCCATGGTAACAGAGTGATGCTGAGACTCAGATCTTTCACTTTAAAATGTATGTCAAATAAAAACCAGAGATTGCAAAGTTAACAAATCATATAACCATATGCATCACTCTTTTACCATGTAATTGCCCTAAAGTAAAAACAATGTGTAGTAGGTATTCTTTCCCTATAGCAACCCCAAGTCAATGTAATTACATGGTATTACAAAAGGGACAGATCAAGCCAGGGCAGGTATACAGTTGCAGCCCTCATATTCAGTCATGCAATGATATAAAAATGACAGATGCCATCCTAACACTACATTAAACCAGACATGAATCTCACACACAGGCTGTAATGTGAGTCTAATTACCTTATGTCAACATTATGCTATGGTTACAGAAATGCAATCCATCATCATCCACCCATCTTTCATTTTTCTTAAGAAAGATAGTCTCTCTCCCCTTTTCAACATGTTATGCCCAAGGGTTTTAGGTTGAATAGTGGCAGAGAGGGGCAACAATTACAAAATACAAATATAAAATACAATTACAAAATACCCTAAAGACCAATGTATCAAAATAAAATACATTATACTTTTGCAAAGTATTGTATTGAATTAAAATACAAGTATTTTGTATTTTCAAAATACATTTGCAAGTACACCCTTAACCTCAACAACATTTTCTGTAATGGTAAAAAAAAAAAAAGTGTTTTACTTGCTATGACTGTGATAATGTGGTTGTTTACCTGTTTCTACTTTAGTTGAATGCACTGACTATAAGTTGCTATGGATGCTAAATGACCAAAATGCACTTGCAAAGCATGCTAGTTATTATTATTCTAATGAGCTCCACCCCCGAACGAGACCATATTTGAATAAAAATGTGAATGACTGTAGAGATAGGCAAAGATACATCAAAATGTATCTTGTTATAAAATACCCTAAAGAATGTATGAAAAGAAAATACAAAATACCATTGTCAATAATACAGAAAAGTATAATATATAATAAAGAAATATACATTTAAAGTAGGCAAAAAAAACACAAAAAAATCATAGACAAACTATTTCAGTGAAATATTCCTGTGCAGTTGTAAATCAAACAAATAAATGTATGAACCCCAAACGTTTTTTCAATTTCAACTTATTTTAGAAGAAATAGACCCTATATAATTGTCTGTCCGACTGTTTAAAAGTATTTTGTATTTTGAAAATGCAAAATACAGCTCTCTGAAGTATCTTGCTACAAAATACATTGGACTGTAGTTTAGGCCAGTGAAATACAAATTACAAAATACGCAAAGGTAATTGAAATACATATTTCAAATACATGTAACATAAATACTGCCCATCTCTGAATAGTGGTGTATTTTATCCTTTGTCTGGCATATGACTTAACCACACAGACAGAAGCATGGTTGTTTTCCCACAGATACCAATAAAAGGATCACGGAATCCCCTCTCTGGGAGCCATATCTAATGCCTGGGGTCATAGAACACATGTGGCTGGATCCCATTTCTAAAAAACACACAAGAGGGAACATGACAAGAGGCCCAGACCTCAGGGTGCTGGGAATGTACTCAGCACAGACAAAGATCATCATAACATACAGACTGAGTACATAACAGACTGAGTACATAACAGACTCAGTACATGCTGAAAGAGGAAATCATCCTCTCAGAGACATTGAAATCATTGTTAGTTTTGAACTGATGTCTCCGGAGGAAAAAACAATCCTAAGAATGTGTTGTTACAAAAACTGTTTCTAAATCCCGCCCCTATCTGACTGTTTGAAAAAGGAAATAGTTAGTTGTTTGACTCAAATGTGTCCCATTTGTCTGAAGTTGCCTGTAAAGTGCATTTTAATTTAAGTAAAACTTAATATTTTGGACAGTCACTTATGTTTGTGTCAATTAAGTTGAATTAATTAATTAATGAACAAACAAATTCCATCTCTGTGTTAACTTACACCCCCCTCCGTATTTATTTGGACAGTGAAGCTGAAACTTTTAATTTGGCTCTATATTCCAGCATTTTGGGCCACTATTAGGCCACTGTATAGAATGTCGCCTCTTATTTGAGTGTATTTTAAAACAGAACATCGCATATGAAACATTTGATCTCAAATCCAAAATGCTGTGGTATAGAGCCATATTAAAAGTTTTAGCTTCACTGTACAAATAAATACAGAGGGAGTGTATGTTCACAGTGTATCATTCTGTTGAAATATTGCTCAGTCCAGATGGCATTTACAGTATGTACAGTATATGTAATTTCAAGAAGAATGTCTTCCATGAATATTTATTTACTGTTTCTTTATATTTGGCTCAGCAGCAAACAAACTTATTCCTTATTCCTGTCTTTTCCCACCATCTGTTGCAGCCTCAGTTCAGCCAGCCCTGCACACTCCCCTAAAGAAGAGTACATCATCGCTCAGTCCACAGACACTCCTAAAGAAGCATTTATCTCAGCTCAATCTGAAGACCACGCCGAGCCTGGAGATGACAAATCAGAGTTGACGGAAAGGAAATCTGATACAGGTTGACTGCACATCAATTTGCTCGTGCTGAAATCTGTTTTCATTTGATTTATCTGCTATAAAAATGACGTTTTATCATGCCCGGTCTGTTTCTGTCTGTCTGTCTATCTATCTGTCTGTCCATCCATCCGTCCATCCCTCTGTCTTTCCATCCCTCCCTCTGTCTGTCTGTCCTTCTGTTTGTCTGGCTGTCCATCTGTCTGTGTGTCTGTGCCCTCCAGAAGAGGTGTTGTCTCTCTGCGGCCTGTGTCCGACCCCGGGGCATGGTGGGCCAGAGGAGGAGAGATCATGGGAGGAGCAGCTGGAGTGTCACCAGGAGCAGCTGGAAAAGGAGATGCAGGAAGCCAGGAGGATGGTGTTCCGCCTGCAGGTAACTAATGACTCCTCACACACACAGACACATACGCACGCATGCATGCACCCGCACACACACACACATACGCACACACTCACACATGCATGCTCCCGCACACACACACACGCACACATACACACACACTAACACACACACACACACCAAGGTTATTGTAGTAAACTAAAACTGATTTTTTTATTTTTTTTTATAATTGTAAACTGAAATAAAATAATTAACAAACCCATTTGAAATTAAAACTATACTGAAACTATTATATTTGACTCCAAAACTAAGTAAAATAAATAAAAACCATCATGAATTATGTTCAGTTTTACTTTTTTGGGGGGCAAAAATTGAATGGGGTTTTCAAGCTTTTTTTTTCTCTAATGGGTGTTTTCAAGCTTCTGAATCTGTTGAGTTAGAGATTAACTTTATAATTTAAAGGTAGACTCAGCGAGCTGACTTTGCCACGAGCAGCACCACAGATATTTGGCTCGTTTGAGTGGTAAGGCTAAACCAACCGACTGTAGACAAAAGTTGAGGAGTGAAGTCAGGGGAGGTGCATCTGCGACAGCTGAAAGTCGGACACTAATGTGGTTTTCCAACAGCAACCCACTGGGCACAGACGTCAATTCAACGTCTATTTCACGTTGGTTTAACGTAATTTCATTGAAATGACGTGGAAACAACGTTGATTCAACCAGTATGTGCCCAGTGGGAAGGCTCAGATCAACATGGCAGTGTTGCCATTGTCTATAAAAGGTTTTCTTTATAATGTTGAAAGAAACATGTTTCTAACCCCCATGTCACACAGTCACAAACGGAAATCCTAATATAATGTGTGTAAACATTGTAAAATCAATTAGTGAGACAGAGCCTCAAATATCACATTTGTTTGTGTATACTATGTCTACTATACACATAAATCACAAGCTAATTGGTTCTTGTTCATTCATGTCTTTGGTCACGTTCACGTGGGTCAAACAAAAACAGCCTAATGATAGGTTAACAATAGATCCTCACACAATGCAGGTAATGGCTGCAGGAGGAAGTTGGTGAAGGGCAGAAATTTGCGTCGACTGCAGTCAAAACTTCATGACCTTTGATCACATGATTTTTGTAAAGTGCGTGCAGTCAACATGTAGGCACAAGTCGGGCAATTTTTATCCCCACGATGCAACACACTTTGAAAGGCGGTGACACTTAACAAAAGTGATCTGCTCGAACGCGGCCATTGAGATGAGCACGATGCAAGACCTTTCTCTCACACAGTCACACAAAGTACCTGCGCATGTGCACGGTTGCGCTTCATGCTGCTACAACATGGTAGCTACAGGACCAAAACAGCTGAGAAGTTTAGCCTCGCGCTTCAGTGCTCCTGGTTGTTGCGGAAATTGACCCACTACTACTGCTTACTTGGTGCATCTACGTCATCTGAGTCTACCTTTAAACCTAACCTAACCTATAACCTGACCCATCTCCTTATGCATTACTGCCCCACAGTGGCAAGAAGTGACCTCCCAAAAACCCCAAACACTAAACAACACAGAAATGGCTCCTAGCCTCCCACGCATAGGCTTCTTTCTGTCCGTAACACTAAAACTAAATTATATAAGAACGAAATAGAAATGTTTTTATGAAACTTAAATTAAACAAAAATGAGTAAAGTGGAACTGAAAACTAACTGAAACTAAACTGATTTCAAATGAAAATGTTAGAACTAATAGAAAGAAAAACTAAACTTATGTTTAGTATGTTTAAGATGTATCCCTCCAAGGCTCCAGCTAAGGTAAGTATACAATGAGATTGTGATCATTCAAGCTTTATCTGGTATCAAGGAGCTGAGTGCTCTTAATCTAGCACGATCTAATCTATCCTGTCAGGTATAAACCCCCCCCAACCTCTACCCCACCCTGCCCAACTGAGGATGATCACATAAAAGGGTCCTGCACATGTCCAAGCCAAGCATTTGCTCTATGTTCACTGTCCAGTTCAGGTTGGCAGCCTTCTGGTGTAGGAGAGGCCGTACGTCCATATCGGTGTGTGTGTGTCTGACATGTTTTTATGCATGCATGTGTTGTGGTCGACAGGCTTTCTTTCTCTCTGGTGTGTGTTTATACTGTGAAATGTATTCTGGGTGTGTAGGCTTTATCTTATGTGTACAGTATGTGTCTATCACTCTCTTCTCTCCAGGCTCTACTGCTGCACGGCTCTCTCCCTGAGGACGAGCAGGACGTCTCCATGGGCTTCGGGGATAGCAGAGCTAACTCTGAGCAGCAGCTGGTACTGTGTCCGCCCCCATCCTCTCTGTACATAATACGGCATGTTCAGCCACCCACTGTGATGTAGCGGTGTCAGACCCTGGCATGCTATAATGTTTTTACTGTCACTCTAGAGTCCAGCAAAGACGCAGATACTGTAGAAGCGTGAATGAGTATATGTTATCTGCTTAGCCTGTTTTCATGCAAGGCCACTGTCTCTTTATAAGCGCTGACATTTCTCTATTCTCTCATATTGCCGCTCATCCCATCGCTTTGAAGGTTCTAATCCGCAGTCGTCTGGACCAAAGCATGGAGGAGGCTCTTGATCTGAAGGTACAGTAAGTAAAATTAATTGGGCTTAATGTGGATGAGCTGCCATAAGATCAAAGACCTCCCCCTCCTAATGAAATGTCTCTGAGTCTGTCTGTCTTTCTGTACTCTCAGAGGGAGCTTCTGAGGCACAAGCAGGAGGCACGCCACCTTCAGGCCATTAAGGTAAGACCTGCAGTCAAACCCTCTTAAGTTTGTTTGGATCATTACTTATACATGGATTAGTGGCATTTATTCAGTTCTCATGCCAGCTCTGGGTAGAGAAGCAGCACCTTTTAGCCTCCAGTGTTCCTTTACAGAAGAGTTGTGTGCTCTGTTTTAGGCTTTATAAGGATCCATATTAGTGGGTCCTTACTCTTTGGTATCCAAACAGGCCTCTCTAGCATTGTCTTTGATCTGCCTTTCCTCATTAGGATGCTCTTCAGCAGCGTATGTCTGTACAGGAGGCTGCAGTGCTGCAGCTGAAGCAGGAGCTACTGAGGTGCAGTATGGACAAAGAGCAACTGGAGGGGGAGAACGTGAGTCAAATGATATGATAATACAGACGTTGACATTTAGAACGAATATTTGACCTTTTTATTCAATGGCTCTATCTATTTATGTATTCAAATATTCACAAAGTGTTTTGTTCATCCACATTACAAATATAAGTATATATTTGTACATTTGTAGGCAGAGCTCAAACGGAAGTTGAGCGATCGGAACAAACTGCTCAGTGAATATGAGGTAAGATAAGAAAATATGTGCATTTTCACCATTTCAACACACTTTAACATTTGGATATGATTATGTAGTTGAAACGTATCAAAGTATCACAGATATCACAGTGATATGTCTATAAAACCAGCAGCAACTTGGAAAAAAGGATAGACTACTTCAGCAACAGCAATTGAAACTGGACGATGCTCGCCACAACTCTACTGAAGGAAGCCACAGGGTATGGTACCATAATCAAACTGCTTCCACTACACTTACAGTAAATGACATGTATTTGTTGTAGATTGAAAAGTTGGTAAGATATATTATATCTGTTTTTCTTCAGTCATTTAGGAGTGAAAAGAGTGGGTTCAGTAACTCTGTGGGCCCACCCCCTGGTCCGGCCTTACAACACACAGCGGTGAGTCATGTACACCTATGTACATTTCCTACATGTGTTTACATGTTGGTGGGAGGGAGTGTGTGATTGATTAAATGTGTGTTTTAGATATGTTTCATGTCGTCATTATAGCTTTTTCTAGAGCTAGAGACCTAATGGAGATTAAAGGCCATGGCCAAATGATCAACAACCTTCAAATTTGCCTGGCCACCAGTTCTAGTGGTTTATGTCATAATGTGTGTGTATGTTAGCAGGGGGAGGAACTGCAGCTGGTGAGGGAGGCCCTGCGTAGTCTGAGGGATGGCTTCTCAGGTCACGACCCTCAGCATCACACCCTGGACACACTGGAGCAAGGGGTGGCCAGTCTCATGGACCGTCTACACACACTCGACCCACGCCGCAGGCAGCAGGACAGAGGGGTACATACACACACACACATACACACACATACACACACACACACACACACACACACACAGCAATATACACAGAGGACCACAGAGGTGGGTGCTGTGTGAATGCTGTTAGCGTTAAATTATGCACCTGATGTGATAATCATGTGTTTATCGTGTGCACATCGTGACTGACTGAATTGGCATTTATCTTAGTAACTGTGACTCTGTCTTCTTGTAGGGTCAGTACAAGTCACCAGGACGAAGAGCCAACCCCACAGACAGGGACTCATGGCCACCCAGCTCAAGTAAGATAAACTGTTTGTTTTGCCGTTCTCAACAACCTTGCTAATTCTCTTCATGCAACTTTATATAATTGTGTAATTAAATTACATTGAGCACATGTTAGGAGGTATTGAGCATTTTAATTAGCTAGGGTGGCTATCTGTAGAGAAAAGGGTAATATTAATCCAACTTGGTCTGGTCCACATAATTATTAAAGACTTAGCCCTCAGGTACCTATCAAATGATTTGACTTATATTAGAGATGTCTACCAATACAACACCAGAGCAATAGACTCTGATATTGCCTGTTTTAAATGTAAGCGTCTATCTGGTAAGAACACCTTTTTATATACCGACGCTGTTGAGTGGAACAAACTACCACATAAACTCAAAGCCATGGTGACCATAGTTGAGGAGACTAAATTACTTGGTGTTACCTTAGATTGTAAACCGTCATGGTCGAAAAAATATAGATTCAATGGATGGGGAGAGGTCTGACCGTAATAAAGAGATGCTCTGCTTTTTTGACCCCACACTCCACAAAGCAAATCCTGCAGGCTCTAGTTTTATCTTATCTTGATTATTGTCTAGTCATATGGTCAAGGGCTGCAAAGAAAGACCTAGTTAAGCTGCAGCTGGCCCAGAACAGAGCGGCACGTCTTGCTCTTCATTGTAATCAGAGGGATAATATTAATACTATGCATGCCAGTCTCTCTTGGCTAAGAGTTGAGGAAAGACTGACTGCGTCACTTCTTGTTGTAAGAAACATGAATGTGTTGGAAATTCCAAATTGTTTACATAGTCAACTTACACACAGCACTGACACACACACTTACCCCACCAGACATGCCACCAGGGTTTTCACAGTCCCCAGGTCCAGAACAAATTCAAGGAAACGTACAGTATTATACAGAGCCATGAGTGCATGGAACTCCCTTCCATCTTATATAGTGCAAGTAAACAGCAAACCTGGTTTCAAAAAATTAATAAAGCAACACTTCACGGCACAACTCCTCTTCCAATGTGACCTACTTGTTGTGTGTATGTACTGACATGTACTGTATGTGTAACTGATAGATGCACACACACTACATGTTCATGTTTTGAATGTATGCAAATTGTAAAGTATTTTGTCTGTAATGTCTTTTTCGTTATGTGTCGGACCCCAGTAAGACTAACTGTCGCCTTTGGTGTCGGCTAATGGGGGATCCTAATAAATCAAATCAAAACCATAACTTCATTTAAAAAGAATGTCAAAAGCTGGCTAATGATCAACATTTTTCATGTCTCTATCTATGTAATGTAATGTTTTAGCACCATGGAAATGTCTGACTTTCTTGTGATATCCCTGGCATGTTAATTTGTAATCTTTATGTATGTATGGTGTGTATATGTTTTTTAATTGGCAAATAAAATCAATCAATCAATCCTATCTTTAAGCTGTAGCCAGTAAGCGAACCTATACTACCGGTCAAAAGCTTTAGAACCCCTACTCATTCAAGGGTTTTTCTTTATTTTTACTATTTTCTACAATGTAGAATAGTGAAGACATCAAAACCATGAAATAACACATGGAATCATGTAGTAACCAAAAAAGTGTTAAACAGATAAAAATATATTTGAGATTCTTCAAATAGCCACCCTTGCCTTGATGACAGCTTTGCACACTCTTGGGATTCTCTCAACCACCTTCATGAGGTAGTCACCTGGAATGCATTTAAATTAACAGGTGTGCCTTCTTAAAAGTTAATTAATTAAGTTCAAGTAACAGACACATCTCAACATCAACTGTTCAGAGGAGACTGTGTGAATCAGGCCTTCATGGTCGAATTGCTACAAAAAAACCACTACTACAGGACACCAATAAGAAGAAGAGACTTGCTTGGGCCAAGAAACACGAGCAATGGACATTAGACCGGTGGAAATTTGTCCAAATTGGAGATTTTTGTTCCAACCGCTGTGTCTTTGTGAGACACGGTGTGGGTGAACGGATGATCTCCGCATGTGTATTTCCCACCGTAAAGCATGGAGGAGGAGGTGTTATGGTGTGGGGGTGCTTTGCTGGTGACACTGTCTGTGATTTATTTAGAATTCAAGGCACACGTAACCAGCATGGCTACCACAGCATTCTACAGCGATACGCCATCCCATCTGGTTGGGCTTACTGGGACTATCATTTGTTTTTCAACAGGACAATGACCCAACACACCTCCAGGCTGTGTAAGGGCTATTTTATCAAGAAGGAGAGTGATGGAGTGCTGCATCAGATGACCTGGCTTCCACAATCCCCCGACCTCAACCAAATTGAGATGGTTTGGGATGAGTCGGACCATAGAGTGAAGGAAAAGCAGCTAACAAGTGCTCAGCATATGTGGGAACTCCTTCAAGACTGTTGGAAAAGCATTCCAGGTGAAGCTGGTTTAGAGAATGCAAAGAGTGTGCAAAGCTGTCATCAAGGCAAAGGGTGGCTATTTTGAGGAATCTCAAATATAAAATATATTTGAATTTATCTAACACTTTTTTGGTTATTACATGATTCCATATGTGTTATTTCATAGTTTTGATGTCTTCACTATTATTCTACAATGTAGAAAATAGTAAAAATAAAGAAAAACCCTTGAATGAGTAGGTGTTCTAAAACTTTTGACTGGTAGTGTATATGTTTTTATTTGTTTTCAGAAATAGCTCACTCTCACAGTAGCCCTGGCCTGGACTCCACAGTCTCCACTAAAGTGCTCTACTTCACTGATCGCTCACTCACTCCTTTCCTGGTCAACATCTCCAAAAGGTACAAATCCAGAATCCCTCTTTGGATCTTGATGATGTCCATTGCATGTGTATCTTTGTGTTGTATGGTTGCGTGCTGCCTGTAAGTTGTGGATGGAATGTATGTGTTAGTACATGTGTACATTGTTAGGCTATTGAATGCATGCATGTGTATCATTGGTGTGTGTGTGGTGTGTCTATGTGCTGTAGCATTGTGAGGGAATGTGCATGTCTGTGTCTCTGCACAGATCAGTGTACCATGATGCCATCTGACAGTGAGACTGTGCTGTGCTGTTAGGCTGGGGGAGGTGACTCTGAGAGACTTCAAGGCAGCGGTGGACCGCCAGGGCAGCTTCAGGTACCACTTCAAAGCCCTCGACCCAGAGTTTGGGACTGTGAAGGAGGAGGTAGGCATGTTTTGGATTACAGCTTTGGGTTTACATTTGGATAGGGTTAACTGTTACCACTGAGGGGGAAATGACTGAATGACCAAAATGAAATAATGAAACACTTGGAATTGGCAATAGTTCCAAAACCCAGTAACTATTTTAAAATCATAGAGATGAGGATTCTCTATAAAGGTTTATAAACTTTATATACAAAAGTATATGGACATCCCTTCAAACTAGTGGATTCGGCTATTTTAGCCACACCCGTTGCTGACAGCTGTGTAAAATCGAGCACACAACCATGCAATCTCCATAGACAAACATTGGCAGTAGAATGGCCTTACTGAAGAGCTTAGTGACTTTCAACGTGGCACCGTCATAGGATGCCACCTTTCCAACAAGTCAGTTGGTCAAATTTCTGCCCTGCTAGAGCTGCCTCAGTCAACTGTAAGTGCTGTTATGTAAGTGCGGCTCAGCCGCGAAGTGGTAGGCAACACAAGCTCACAGAACGGGACCACCGAGTGCTGAAGCGTGTAAAAATCATCTGTCCTTGGTTGCAACACTCACTACCGAGTTCCAAACTGCCTCTGGAAGCAACCTCAGCACAATAACTGTTTGTCGGGAGCTTCATAAAATGGGTTTCCATGGCCGAGTAACCGCACACAAGCCTAAGATCACCACGCACAATGCCAAGTGTCAGCTGGAGTGGTGTAAAGCTCGCCGCCATTCGACTCTGGAGCAGTGGAAACGCGTTCTCTGGAGTGATGAATCACGCTTCACCATCTGGCAGTCTGACGGACGAATTTGGGTTTGGCGGATGCCAGGAGAACGCTACTTGTCGAATGCATAGTGCCAACTGTAAAGTTTGTTGGAGGAGGAATAATGTTTCAGGCTAGGCCTCTTAGTTCCAGTGAATTGAAATCTTAACGCTACAGCATACAATGACATTCTAGACGATTCTGTGCTTCCAACTTTGTGGCAACAGTTTGGGGAAGACCCTTTCCTGTTTCAGCATGACAATGACCCCGTGCACAAAGCGAGGTCCATATAGAAATGGTTTGTCGAGATCGGTGTGGAAGAACTTGACTGGCCTGCACAGAGCTCTGACCCTCAACCCCATCGAACACCTTTGGGATGACTTGGAACGCCGACTGCGAGCCACGCCTAATCGCCCAACATCAGTGCCCGACCTCACTAATGCTCTTGTGGCTGAATGGAAGCAAGTCCCCGCAGCAATGTTCCAACATCTAGTGGAAAGCCTTCCCAGAAGAGTGGAGGCTGTTATAGAAGCAAAGGGGGGACCAACTCCATATTAATGCCCATGATTTTGGAATGAGATGTTTGACGAGCAGGTGTGCACATACTTTTGGTCATGTAGTGTATGTGTTCAGAGACTGTCTGTCCCTGTATATGTCATAGTTTATATTATAAGAGCATGCATGTCTGGTTCTGATTGGTGTTCTCAGGTGTTCCAGGATGGAGCCCTGGTGCCTGGCTGGGAGGGGAAGATAGTGGCCTGGGTGGAGGAGGACCATGGAGAGAGACGGTAGAACTGGGAACCAACCAACCATAGAGGGAACCACCAGCCTCAAACTGTGACCACTGGACTATGATGCCATAACACCCTCTCAGTATTCTCAGCAGCCCTGCAGAGGTAGTTATTATAACAATTGGGATCAATCTATTTATTACTGTTTCGAGATAAAACCATACTTTCAAAAATGGCTCTTTCCTATGGACATTTTACTTACAGTAACTGTTTGAAGTACAAGTTGTAGTTGCCAAATATGAATGAAGTTGTTCACAATACAATTTTAAAGTTTTAATAAACATGGATTACTGCATGAATATTTACTATTTGTGAATTATTTCCTAGACATGCAGTTAATGTAACTCATGATCATGGAGGACTATAACTCCACTTGAGTCATTAATGTTGCTGTGAATGTCTTTACTGAGGTACTGTTTACTACTACAAAGGTTCAGACGCACAGCTTGTAGGATGCATAGCAGAAATGACATTTATTTTGGTCCATTTGCTTTGAGGTAACTGAAGTTACTACCTTCTCTAATGGCCTTCTTATATTTCCAAAGTCCGAGTCTCTTCAGAGAGACAAATTACCTACTGGGTGTAAGTGTGTCTTGCCAGAACAGACACAGTGTTTTTTTTTTTGTTTGTCTTTGAATTAACTTGTGTGCTTTTAGTGTCGGCAGTACCGGCACTAGAGTATAGACACTTGCAAGTTAATGTCCGTTTCTTCTTGTTGAACGTGGCAGAGGCCGACTCCTCATTCACAGTCTCAGGCAGCTCCAGGTGTAGATGGTACATATCCTCCACTTCTAGTAGTACATAATCCTACAGAGAAATACACACAGACTATTAGACCCAGAAGACCACAGAAAGGATCACTTACAATGTAACATAGGCTATTATGTCAACATAGGAAGTGTTTAAGCAAGACAGACAGAATTTGTGTTAATCTGTCACAGGGCCTTATTCATAGCACAAGGGAAAGGGGAAGCAGAGTGGTCCCTGACCTGGGAAATGTTGAGATGGCACTCTGTGATGGACTGAACATTTGGTAGCTCCACAGTCAGTTCCAGGCTCCAAGAGAGGTCCCTGGGGTCAGCGGCCACTGAGCTGGAGATCACCCGGATCAGGTTATTGGTCTTGTTGCTTTGGTCCACTGGCCCAGGTGTTAGCTAGACAGATGTGATGAACTGCAGAGGTGTACTGTCCTCAGTCTGCCCTTCACACAGAGAGGAGATCTGCTGGAGCAGGGAAGCTGGGGTCTGGGAGGCTGGGAAATGAATGTCAATTGAAGGTAAAAACATTAATCTTTAGCTACAGTACACCTTTAAAAAATCTTGAAGATACTAAGTAGTTAGTAGGTATTGCTCAATACATTTTGATTAAATAATCTCTCCTTTATTTTTATCACCTTGATAAAAAATAACTGTCCCCTTGAACCAGGGAATAATTACATAGAGGCTATACCTGTGTTGGTGGCGGTGCTGGACTGTTTTAGAGAACTCAGGCGGTACTGCATGTCCTCTAGGCTGCCCTTTAGCTTACTGCTGCTGGGCCAGACGCAGGCCATACTGCTGCTGGGTGAAGCTCAGGGCTAACAGGTGGACCTGGTCCTTCTCCCTCTTGTCCTGCTGAGCCTGCTGCAGCACCGCAGGGCTGAACGCCACATCCACCACACTGTAGTCGTCTAAGTACAGGGAAGTTGTAGTACTGAAAAACTGCAATGAAACACCTTTTTAGTTCAAACAGTGTTAGATAACATTGGCATCAAAACCATTAAAAATAGTATAAGAAAGTCAGCTGTCACAATGTTCACTTTTTTTGCCTGCACATCTTTTAAAACAGGTTACAATCCAGGTAATTATGCAGAAATACAGGTTTGTGTGCTGCAGGACAACAGTGACTCTTGGTACTTCCTCCTTCATCAGTGTCTGTCTCCAGTCTCCCTCCACACACAGGCACAGGCTTGTTCTCATCAGCAGGGGCAGGGACGCGCTTCCAGCCACACACACATTGATGTACAGCAACCCTTTCTTTGGCTCCTGACACAAACAATAAAACAACTGTTCAGCCTCTTTATAGTTCACACTTCCATATTATTAGCCAGCGGTGCAAGGTCAAACGTGCACTGCAAACAAATGAACAGTATTCTCTTACCATCACACTTAGTTATGTAATTTCTATGTAGGCCAGTGTTCTAAGTTTGTGTGTTTTGAATCTAGAAACACTACAGTGTGGGTGTAGCTGCTCATAGAAAGCAGGTAATTTGTGGTACCAGCATTTCAGTGAGTAGGCAGGAGTCAGGCTAAGGTGGTGCATTACAATCAGCTCCCTGTTTAATCTGTTTCTCGATAAACATCTGGTAGCTTTGGGGGTAATTCTGTGACAGGTCGTCTAACATCGACCAGAACTGGTTGACCTGCTGCAAAACTTCCTTTGTACACCTCAGGGAAGAAGACATATTTCTGAAAAGATGTTGAGGGATTTAGTTTAGTATACACACAGCTCATTGGAGTTTTGCATTTGATTATGGTATGGCAAGGCAAGATAGCTATAGATGAACAAGCATGGAGAGAATTCCTAGCTAGGTTAAATAACGTTACGTTAGCTAGCTACAGTACTGTAGCTAAATAGCTAGCGCTAGGCCTACCACATGTAGCAATACACCAGACAGCAATGCCTTGAATACAATCAAACTATTTGGTACAAATGCTGTGAATCAGATGGAGAACAGTAGTAATCCTTTTAACACAAAACACATATAAATACTCACAGTAAACTTGCTTGCTTCAAGTTATTTTCTATTTTTACCAATGACCTGCCACTGGCATTAAACAAAGCATGTGTGTCCATGTATGCTGATGATTGAACCATATACGCATCAGCAACCACAGCTAATGAAGTCACTGAAACCCTTAACAAAGAGTTGCAGTCTGTTTTGGAATGGGTGGCCACTAATAAACTGGTCCTGAACATCTCTAAAACTAAGAGCATTGTATTTGGTACAAATCATTCCCTAAGTTCTAGACCTCCGCTGAATCTGGTAATGAATGCTGTGGCTGTTGAACAAGTTGAGGAGACTAAATTACTTGCCGTTACCTTAGATTGTAAACTATCATGGTCAAAACATATAGATTCAATGGTTGTAAAGATGGGGAGAGGTCTGTCCATAATAAAGAGATGCTCTGCTTTTTTGACACCACACTTCAAAAAGCAAGTTCTGCAGGCTCTAGTTTAATCTAATCTTGATTATTGTCCAGTCGTGTGGTCCAGTGCTGCAAAGAAAGACCTAGTTAAGCTGCAGCTGGCCCAAAACAGAGTGGCACGTCTTGCTCTTCATTGTAATCAGAGGGCTGATATAAATGCATGCCAGTCTCTCTTGGCCTAAGAGTTGAGGAGAGACTGACTGCATCACTTCTTATTTTTATAAGAAATATTAATGTGTTGAAAATCCCAAATTGTTTGCATAGTCAACTTACACATAACTCTGACACATACACTTACCCCACCAGACATGCCACCAGGGGTCTTTTCACAGTCCCCAAATCCAGAACAAATTCAAAAAGGGTACAGTATTATATAGAACCATTATTGCATGGAACTCCGTTCCATCTCATATTGCTCAAATAAACAGCAAACCTGGTTTCAAAAAACAGATAAAGCATCACCTCACGGCACAACGCCTCTCCCCTATTTGACCTAGATAGTTTGTGTGTATTATGTCATGTTTCATGTTTTGTGTGGACCCCAGGAAGAGTAACTGCTGCTTTTGCAACAGCTAATGGGGATCCTAATAAAACACCAAATACCAAAAATACCAAATACCCCTGTGCTAACGTTACAGCTAAATGTTGACAAAATCAATTTTGTAGCTAGTGTCGTCCTCTGTTACTCTGGAAACGAGATGAGAGGGGTGCATGCACGCCCTCTCCTGACAGGAGAGAGGTGCTACTACTTTGCACTCAACGGTGGACAGTGTCTGCATTCTTCTGAAATGATGGCTCTGACACATAAAGCTCTTCCATCACACCAGAGTAGACAATGGACATGTTTAGATATGAAGCATAATTTATTTTCAATACAAGACAAATATATGGTATAAATATGTTCTCATTCAGGTGCTAAAAATAAAATGTATGACAAACATGTATAGTATAAAAGATTTCCTACTGTTAAATAATGTATGCATTTCTGCAATAAACATGGCCGTTATAAGGAGGTAAAATGACAGTTACAGAACAGGAGGAAGAATGTCAGGAACAACTTATGTTTCAGTTTGCTCTAGGCCTGTTCTGGTCCTACATGAGTCTCCCTGATCATCCATTGTTTTATTCCTCTTCCTCCTCAATAGCTCTGTGGATGGAAAAACAAATGTAACATACAGTACTATGCAATTTCAAGAGGAGAAACAGAACTGCATAGCAGATGTGGTCCTGATATGTAAAAAATCAATACATAGGCCTATGCAATGTCGTAGATCCAGCCGAGGAACTCGGCCACCTTGGTGTAGACTCCGGGGTGGTTGGGCTCAGCGCAGCCTGTACCCCAGCTCACCACACCCACCAGTCTCCACACGTTGTCAATTTGACAGACCAGAGGACCCCCACTGTCCCCCTGGGGAGAGGACAGGAGCAGATACACACTGCTGTCAATCACACTGGTTACCAGACCACCACACTGATTGTTAGGGGTTGAGATATTGTTAAATCACAGTGATTTAGGGATTATGGGTTGGGATATTGTGGAATACCAAAACCTGAGCTCCACTGAATTTGATCGGTAGGACCTTGAATAAAGCTGGTGTGCCCGCTCAGGTACATGCCTAATGAGCTTTGTCTTTGATAATTCAGAACAGTAATGGGGGACACCTGGGGGAAAATATTCTCATTATCAAAAACCAGTTCTACTTTTGTAAGACAACAACTCTCTAATCTTTGGTACCTCTTCATAATACAAGCCACAGGAGGAATAACTCGGGTATCTTTTATGAACTAACCTGACATGCGTCCACCTTGCCCTCGGTGTATCCAGCACAGAGCATGCGGGGGGTGATCTCTCCATTGTACATGCAGGAACTGTTGCATTTCTTGGTGCTTATCAGTGGAACCGGAGCTTCTTTTAGCGTGTCAGGGATGAGAACTGTCAAAGAAAGTCAAACTAATGTAAATATACCTCTTATTTTTAGGATTTAAGTGACTTTGTGCTATGAAAAAACATTTTAACCATTGATAGAGATACATTAAATTATTATATTTAAGTTATATTATTCATTATTCATAGTCGTACCATCATCCGGTTGAGTGTAGCCCCAGCCAGAGATCCAGCACTGGGTTCCTCCTGGAAGATCATGCTCGTACTGTGGCAGACAGATAGGCCTGATGGTATCTAAAAAATACAATATAAGAGAATATTAAGAACATTAGAACAGTGTAGGTCATTTTGAAGTTAATTTCAGTAATATTGGAACATGGTTTGGAACTGATTGCTGTAATAATATAGTTGAGTGTTCCAGTCAGCCAAGGGACTATGTTGTGCATTCAAAACGGAAGCAGTCAAGTTCCCTGTCACCTGAGAAATTCATTGGGGTTCGCAGTTTCATCAGAGCAATGTCATTGTCGTGGCTCCTGGGATTGTAGTTCTTGTTGTAGATGATCTTTTCCACTGCATATCCAGTGTACAGAGCCATTTTAGCTGAAATGCGTGTGACAATACCAGCATAGACCACCCAACTGGACACCTGTGGTAGCCTATAGCTGGAATGTGAAAAAAGAGATGAAGGCTCTCCAATTCTCAATTGTATAAAGTATAACTGACTTTGTGCAAAAGAAAGTGAGAGCTACTACTGTCCCTAGTCATCACTACACTGTCATGAGTCAGTGACCTCGGACCTCTAACCTCTGACCTCTTACCCCGAGAGGTCATTGGGGGTCTTACTTGTGCACACAGTGGGCTGCGGTGACCACCCATTGGCTGGTGATGATGGTGCCTCCACAGGTGTGTCGGTTGCTGTAGTAGAGACTGACTTGCCAGGGCCACCTTCCCAAGGTAGCCTCCACTCCCCCAATTATCCTGGGCAGCTTAGCCCGCGTCCCACACTCTACACAGGCAAAGGAAACAAACATGAAGGCATTTTTACCCAGATCACTTTACATACATTGTATTGAGATAACTCATCACACTACAGTATATACTGAGTGTACAAAACATTAGGAACACTTTTTAAATATTGACTTGCACCCCCTTTTGCCCTCAGAACAGCCTCAATTCGTCGGGGCATGGACTCTACAAGGTGTGTAAAGCGTTCCACAGGGATGTGGGCCCATGTTGACTCCAATGCTTCCCTCAGTTGTGTCAAGATGGCTGGATGTCCTTAGGGTGGTGGACCATTCTTGATAAACATGGGAAACAGTTGAGAGTGAAAAACCCAGCAGTGTTGCAGTTCTTGACACGCTCAAACCGGTGCGCCTGGCACCTACTACCATACCCTGTTCAAAGGCACTTAAATATTTGGTCTTGCCCATTCACCCTCTGAATGGCACAGATACATAATCCATGTCTCAATTGTCTCAAGGCTTATTATTATTATTTTTTTACCTGTCTCCTCCCTTTAATCTACACTGGTTGAACTGTATTTAACAAGTGACATTAATAAGGGGTTATAGCTTTCACCTGATTCACCTGATCAGTCTATGTCATGGAAAGAGAAGGTGTTCCTAATGTTTTGTACACTCAGTGTATACCACCAATGTGTAGCACTATGAAGTCGTGACTGAGAGGTCATATGAAAGTAATTGGGTCCTACCTGTGTGTGAGATGCACAAATTTACAATGTAGTTAATCCACTATTATGTTAGTGTTGTTAGTACCCTGCAGAAACTTACCAAAACATTTCAAAGCTATAACCTTCCCTGTGACGCAACTCCCCCTAAATAAAAACAAATCAGTCCATTAGAAAAGCTTCATTACTTTGTTATAGCACATCAATTTTTTCAGCATCATTAGGTAATGTATTATCTCCTCAGACAGCTGCTGTACCTTAACTGCCATATATTTTCCAGGCTGTTCTTGTGTTCGGAGGTAATCTGTATAAAGCCATCTGTGTAGTTTGGTCCGATGTCCGTTAAGTTCACCCCTTTTTGCTTGGTCAGTCTGGAAGGAAAATAAATCATAGTTATATCTTCTATAAAAGCAGGCAAGACGGGAGTGTCCATTTTAAAAAGTAATGTCTGATCCATGGGTCATAAGGCAAGCTTATAAACAAGGTATTAACAGAGCATTAAATAATCCATAATTAACTGGGAGAAATCAGCCTTATAGTTAGGTGAATAGCCTAGTATGTTCCCAAGATACTGTGGGCTTTATAGTAAGAAAGTGGTCTCAGTTTACTAGCCTTAGATATCCCAGCTGGCGGCAGACCAGGGTCCCCAGGGAAGAGTTCCATCTCTCATAGCACACAGGCAGCCAGGTGGGCACCTTCTCTAGCTGGATCTCCAAGAGCGAGTTCTCCGGGCTGATTCTGTAAAGCACTGAACCTGATTGATAGAAAATAATCCCTCCAGAGACCAACTAGATTAACAGTAATGAACTGTGGTCTTGTTTGAGAGGGAAATGCTGAGCATCTTATATCCAATAACTAATGTAGTCAATATAAACAGATCATTATTTCATGTTTTGATGTCGGTCAATAGACAGTCTCAACTCCTCTCCAGTGACCGTGACCATGTAGAAGTTGTTAAGGAATTTATTAATAAACATATGTACTGTTATAAAGACAATTATAGGTGTAATATAAACACATTTGGTTTATCACAAATGTTGTGATAAAGCATAACATTACTAGTAGACTAGTAACCCATTGGATGCTAGCATGCTAGTTAGCTATGGTGTCATAGTTAGCTAGCTGAATAAAGTGGGTTGAGTCTATTCCTTTAAACATTGAACCGCTGTGGTTCACAACAATTCTGATTTCTAAAGGTGGAAGTTGGGAGAGTTTTTGTTCGGGTGGTTCAGTGAAACAATTTTAGTTTCTGAGGTAGAAGTTTTTGGTGAGGGAGGCCCTGCTCTCTCCTCTCCCAGATGCTTAGCTCATTTCATTCCGATCTCCTCTGCATTTTTGTAGCCATTTGCTACAGCCTGTCAACTATGCCTCTGCCTATCCCTGTTCTCTCCTCTCTGCACAGGCTACACAAACGCACCACACCGCGCGGCTGCTGCCTCTCTAACCTGGTGGTCCCTGCACGCACCCCTCACCTGGAGTTCCAGGTCGCAGGCAGCCTCTGGAACTGCCGTTCTGCTGCCAACAAAGCTGACTTCATCCCAGCCTATGCCAACCTCCAGTCCCTCGACTTCCTGGCGCTGACGGAAACATGGATCACCACTGAAAACACTGCTACTCCTACTGCTCTCTCCTCGTCTGACCATGTGTTCTCGCATACCCCGAGAGCATCTGGTCAGAGGGGTGGTGGTACAGGAATCCTCATCTCTCCCAAGTGGACATTCTCAATTTTTCCCCTAACCCATCTGTCTATCTCCTCATTTGAATTCCATGCTGTCACAGTCACTAGCCCATTTAAGCTTAATATCCTTGTCATCTATCGCCCTCCAGGTTCCCTTGGAGAGTTCATCAATGAGCTTGACGCCTTGATAAGTTCCTTTCCTGAGGATGGCTCACCCCTCACAGTTTTGGGGGATTTCAACCTCCCTATGTCCACATTTGACTCATTTCTCTCTGCCTCCTTCTTTCCACTCCTCTCCTCTTTTGACCTCACCCTCTCACCGTCCCCCCCTACTCACAAGGCAGGCAATACGCTTGACCTCATCTTCACTAGATGCTGCTCCTCTACTAATCTCACTGCAACTCCCCTCCATGTCTCCGACCACTACTTTGTTTCCTTTTCTCTCTCGCTCTCCTCCCACACTACTCACTCTGCCCCTACACAGATGGTAATGCGCCGCCGCAACCTTCGCTCTCTCTCTCCCACTACTCTCTCCTCTTCCATCCTATCATCTCTTCCCTCTGCTCAATCCTTCTCCCTCCAATCTCCTGATTCTGCCTCCTCAACCCTCCTCTCCTCCCTTTCTGCATCCTTTGACTCTCTGTGTCCCCTATCCTCCCGGCCGGCTCGGTCCTCCCCTCCAGCTCCGTGGCTTGATGACTCACTGCGAGCTCACAGAACAGAGCTCCGGGCAACGGAGCGGAAATGGAAGAAAACTAAACTCCCTGCCGACCTGGCATCTTTTCACTCCCTCCTCTCTACATTTTCTTCATCTGTTTCTGCTGCTAAGGCCACCTTCTACCACTCTAAATTCCAAGCATCTGCCTCTAACCCTAGGAAGCTCTTTGCCACATTTTCCTCCCTCCTGAATCCCCCCCCCCCCCCCCCCCCCCCCCTCCTCTCTCTCTGTGGATGACTTCGTCAACCACTTTGAAAAGAAGGTTGACGACATCCGATCCTCGTTTGTTAAGTCTAATGACACTGCTGGTCCTGCTCACACTGCCCTACCCTATGCTTTGACTTCTTTCTCCCCTCTCTCTCCAGATAAAATCCTGCGACTTGTGACTGCAGGCCGCCCAACAACCTGCCCGCTTGACCCCATCCCCTCCTCCCTTCTCCAGACCATCTCCGGTGACCTTCTCCCCTACCTCACCTCGCTGATCAACTCATCCTTGACCGCTGGCCATGTCCCTTCCGTCTTCAAGAGAGCGAGAGTTGCTCCCCTTCTCAAAAAACCAACACTCGACCCCACTGATGTCAACAACTACAGACCAGTATCCCTTCTTTCTTTTCTTTCCAAAACTATTGAGCGTGCCGTCTTTAGCCAACTCTCTTGCTATCTCTCTCAGAATGACCTTCTTGATCCAAACCAATCAGGTTTCAGGACTGGTCATTCAACTGAGACTGCTCTTCTCTGTGTCACGGAGACTCTCCGCACTGCTAAAGCTAACTCTCTCTCCTCTGCTCTTGTCCTTCTAGACCTGTCTGCTGCCTTTGATACTGTGAACCATCAGATCCTCCTCTCCACCCTCTCCGAGCTGGGCATCTCCGGCGCGGCTCACTCCTGGATTGCGTCCTACCTGACCGGTTGCTCCTACCAAGTGGCGTGGCGAGAAGCTGTCTCCGCACCACGTGCTCTCACCACTGGTGTCCCCCAAGGCTCAGTTCTAGGCCCTCTCCTTTTCTCCCTATACACCAAGTCACTTGGCTCTGTCATATCCTCACATGGTCTCTCCTATCATTGCTACGCTGACGATACACAACTAATCTTCTCCTTTCCCCCTTCTGATAACCAGGTGGCGAATCGCATCTCTGCATGTCTGGCAGACATATCAGTATGGATGACGGATCACCACCTCAAGCTGAACCCTGGCAAGACGGAGCTGCTCTTCCTCCCGGGGAAGGACTGCCCGTTCCATGATCTCGCCATCACGGTTGACAACTCCGCTGTGTCCTCCTCCCAGAGTGCGAAGAGCCTAGGCGTGACCCTGGACAACACCCTGTCGTTCTCCGCCAACATCAAGGCGGTGACCCGCTCCTGCAGGTTCATGCTCTACAACATTCGGAGAGTACGACCCTGCCTTACACAGGAAGCGTTACAGGTCCTAATCCAGGCACTTGTCATCTCCCGTCTGGACTACTGCAACTCGCTGTTGGCTGGCCTCCCTGCCTGTGCCATTAAACCCCTACAACTCATCCAGAATGCCGCAGCCCGTCTGGTGTTCAACCTTCCCAAGTTCTCTCACGTCACCCCCCTCATCCGCACACTCCACTGGCTTCCAGTTGAAGCTCGCATCCGCTACAAGACCATGGTGCTTGCCTATGGAGCAGTGAGGGGAACGGCACCTCTGTACCTTCAGGCTCTGATCAGTCCCTACACCCAAACGAGGGCATTGCGCTCATCCACCTCTGGCCTGCTGGCTCCCCTTCCTCTGCGGAAGCATAGTTCCCGCTCAGCCCAGTCAAAACTGTTCGCTGCTCTGGCACCCCAATGGTGGAACAAGCTCCCTCACGACGCCAGGACAGCGGAGTCACTCACCACCTTCCGGAGACATTTGAAACCCCACCTCTTTAAGGTATACCTGGGATAGGATAAAGGAATCCTTCTACCCCCCCCCCCCCCAATTGTAAAGTGGTTATCCCACTGGCTATAGGGTGAACGCACCAATTTGTGAGTCGCTCTGGCTAAGAGCGTCTGCTAAATGACGTTAATGTGCCCTTGAGCAAGGCACTTAACCCTAATTGCTCCTGTAAGTCGCTCTGGATAAGAGCGTCTGCTAAATGACTAAAATGTAAATGTAAAAATATTACTAGGAAGGTCTTTCTGCCTGACCAATCAAGTACATCCCAAATGGTACCCTACAGTGCCTTCAGAAAGTATTCATACTCCCTGACTTATTCCACATTTTGTTGTGTTATAGCAGCCTGAATTCTAAATGAATTTTTAAAAAGAAAAAATATTTCACCCATCTACATAATAATAATAATAATAATAATAATAATAATAATAATAATAATAATAATAATAATAATAATCTACCCCGTAATGATAAAGTGAAAACATGTTTTTTGAAATGTTAGCAAATGTATTGAAAATAAAATTAATAAATATCTCATTTACATAAGTATTCACACCCCTGAGTCAATACTTTGTAGAAGCACCTTTGGCAGCTGTGAGTCTTTCTGGGCAAGTCTCTAAGAGCTTTCCACAGCTGGATTGTGCAACATTTGCCCATTATTATTTTCAAAATTCTTCAAGCTCTGTCAAATTGGTTGTTGATCATTGCTAAACAATCATTTTCAGGTCTTGCCATAGTTTTTCAATAGATTTTTGTCAAAACTGTAACTCGGCCACTTAGGAACATTTACTGTCTTCTTTGTAAGCAACGCCAGAGTAGATGTGGCCTTGTGTTTTAGGTTATTGTCCTGCTGAAAGGTGGATTCATCTCTCAGTGTCTGGTGGAAAGCATACTGAACCAGGTTTTCCTCTAGGATTTTGCCCGTGCTTAGCTCCATTCCATTTATTTTGTATCCAGAAAAACTCCCCAGTCCTTAACCATTACAAGCATACCCATAACATGATGCAGCCACCACTATGCTTGAAAATATGGAGAGTGGCACTCAGTAATGTGTGGTATTGGATTTTCTCCGAACATAACACTTTGTATTCAATACAAAAAGTTAATTGCTTTCCAACATTTTTTGCAATATTACTTTAGTGCCTTGTTGCAAACAGGATGCATGTTTTTGAATATTTGTATTCTTTACAGGCTTCCATATTTTCACTCTGTCAATTAGGTTAGTATTGTGGAGTACTACAATGTTGTTGATCCATCTTCAGTTTTCTCCTGTCACAGCCATTAAACTCTGTAACTGTTTTAAAGTCACCATTGGCCTGAGTGGTTTCCTTCCTCTCTGGCAACTGAGTTAGGAAGGACGCCTGTATCTTTGTAGTGACTGGGTGTATTGATACACCTTCCAAAGCCTAATTAATAACTACAACATGCTCAAAGGGATATTTATTTTTATCCATCCACCAATAGGTGCCCTTCTTTGCGAGGCATTGGAAAACCTCCCTGGTCTTTGTCTTTGTGGTAACCGTGTTTGAAATTCACTGCTCGACTGAGGGACCTTACAGATAATTGTATGTGTGGGGTATAGAGATGACGTAGTCATTCAAAAATCATGTTAAACACTATTATAGCAACTTATTATGTGACTTGTTAAGCACATTTTACTCCTGAACTTATTTAGGCTAGCCATAACAATTGAATACTTATTGACTCAAGACATTTCAGCTTTTTATTTGTAATTAATAAAATAAAATAAAATAAAAAACATAATTCCACTTTGACATTTTGGGCTATTGTGTGTAGGCCAGTGACAAAAAAATCTCAATTCAATCCATTTTAAATTCAGGTTGTAACACAACAAAATGTGGAAAAATTAAAGGGGTGTGAATACTTTCTGAAGGCACTGTATAAACTATATAGTGCACTCTTTTTGACTGGAGCCTATGGGGCACTACACAGGAATATGGTGCTATTTGGGACATAGCCAATCAGATCGACAAGATGACTGTCTCTGTGGTGAGTGAGGGGCTGAGAGGCACAGACCTTTCCTGGGATCAGCCACAGAGATGTCCTCGGTCACGTTACAGAAGGACGTCTCCTTGGTGTCCCCCAGCCCTGCTGGGCTCTGGGAAGAGGTAGGCCGCAACAACAACCTCACTATGGGAGGGAAAACAACAACATGCAGAGTGAACTATAGTCGCAGTGGATGTGAAACAGATGTTCTTAATCTAGCTCTGTCATTGTGTGAGACATGATTATCATGCATAGTTAATCAGTTATAACAGTCTCAATGTAAAACATTAAAATACAGTGTTCTATATTCTGACATGTAGGGCTACTTCAGTTTGTTATCCACCACGGCAAGGAATCTGTATTGCACAAACACTAGAACATTGAACATGTCATCATTCTCTTCATACTTCGTGATTTGATACTTGCAGGGTGTCTCACCTAGGAACCACACTCCGATTGCTAAGCCTCCCAGAAGTCCTACTGCACACACAGCAGCCAGTACTCTCACCAGTCTATGGGCTGACACTGGAGCACAGCTGAATTAGACACTGATTAGAGATAAACTGGCCTGGGTATACTGATGAAAGGCATGTTAGCTGTCTGTCATACTGACAAAGAGTGGAAGAGATAGCGGCACATCATGTAACAGCCATTACACAGTCTACAAGGTGCACACAACCTAGGATGTGAACAAAGCATACCACATGTAGGGAACAGGTGACAAAGATGAATGCTGAGCATTTCACAGGCAGTGTCATAATCAACTGACTCATATCAAGTCTGCATGGCAGCTGTGAGGGGTAGATGTTACTGTACTACAGTTTGTGAAAAGGATAGCTAAAGCACTGAGTCTAGCTGGATTTGGCTTTAACTTAAGACAATGAGATATTAAAGTACTAAAGCTTAATGCTGCTATATACTCTAATTAGATAAGACTTTATGTAGCATGCCTTGTTTGTGCACTAATTGGATAATGTCATCTACTAATGATAGCCTGTGGTTTCAGCCCTATTAGACACTGCACCACCCAGACATTGACCTTACTGTGGTTTGTAGAGTGGATTCCTCTCAGCCAGGCATGGCAGCTCTGACTCTGAGCTCCTCGGGCCGCTCCCTCTCCTGTCTTCTCTGGGTGGAAAGGATGACTGACAGCCACAGGATTCTCAATCACAGATGATGTAACTCCATCAAGATTCTGCAACAGATGCAATGAATACAACACACACACACACACACACACACACTATTCATATCAGTCTTCTGGGACACTGGATATGAACATAACCTGTTCTTGCTGGCTGACTAACCCTCCCCTTCTACACACACAAGCCTTACTCATCCCCTTTATCAAACAGATTTAATTAGGATGACTGTGAAAGCCAGAGATCTCAGGAGGGTTTGTCCAGGTGTATGGAATTTGAATGGCAGGTGTTTAAAGGTGCGTAGATAATGTCACAGGTGTCCAGGTGTGTGAACTGAAGCACAATGTATCATTCATAGCCATACGTGAGAATCCCAGCCAATGTGTCATCCTTGTGCGGCAGACATACGGATTTACTCTACACGGTACCGGACCTATGCAGCAGACCTTTCACATGCAGGTGAATCAGACCACCTACAATTGTTTTCTATTGCAAGACATCATTTTTAATTTTTTTTATCAGTTAAATATTACAGGGTATTTCTAGCTCATGCAGTGAGATATTGTGGGAAAGGTAGCTTAGTGGTTAAGAGCGTTGTGCCAGTAACCGAAAGGTTGCTGGTTCTAATCCCCGAGCTGACTAGGTGAAAAATCTGTCGATGTGCCCTTGAGCAAGGCACTTAACCCTAATTGCACATGTAAGTCGCTCTGGATAAGAGCGTCTGGTAAATGTAAAATAGGATGGCATTATATATCTACAAATCCCCTCTAAAAACTATCTGCTCCAATATGGTGCTTAAACATTGTAATATACCCCTAGAATCAACACCAGTATGTTAACCCAAAGCATGCACTGTATGCATATATTTCTCTTTAAGTTATCCTCTAGCAGATAATACATTACATTAGTAAAAAGTTCACCATGTACTTGAAATACATTATGATGATTGACAATAGATTATTAAAAACCATTAAAAAATCAATAAAATCATCATAGTTGTTGTTAAACAACATGCACAACAGCTAGTACATGTACAGTAAATAGACAGAGGCATTATGAAAACAACATCTGTTGTCAGTGATGTTGACACTCAATGAGTGAGTCGATGGCCTAAAGACAGAGGGTGTCAGGGGAGGTGAGAGCAACAGAGAAGGTATCAAGGTGATAATGAAAGTAAATAGGGGTAAGGAGAGAGACAGAGATATATAGATATGCCTGGAGTCTTACCATGTTTTCCTTGTATCTTCTGTTGTTCAGAGGAGAGTGTGGCACTGGGCTCTTCAGCGCTCATCTGTAGGCCTGTGTTAGGTTAGAGACAGAGATGTGCTCCGCTCGCAGCTGGTCGACCATTTGCCATTTCACAGAATGCAACTCTGGATTTTCCCTTCACAAAGAGACAGTGAGGTCAGCAGTGTTGCTGCGCTGTTGAATGAACCTGTTGTTTTGCCAAGCAGGTCATGGGGCCTATGGAGGCAGGCTCAACCAGTTCTTTGTAGGAGGGAACATCTCCAGAGATACCCCACAAGCCACTGATAGGGTGGGCAGAGGCACGGGTTGCTTAGTAACAACCTTACCTGTGCCAACAGAGCATCCACTTGGCAGACAGAACATTATTAGCTGAACATTGTAGCTTCATGAGCAAAGGTCATAATTACAGATTGTTGAAAAGCCATATATATCACGTCAATCCCAGTCAGACTCATTTGGAATTCTAAGGTATCACATCTCTCACCAGGCCACTCAAGAACAAAATTAACACTGTTCTGCCTGCTGGTGAGGTGACAGATTTTCACTCTCTCTCTCAAAATAAATAAATGCATTTGTACAGTTTTTGTTATGAATTATTATTTTATTTATTTATTTCTGGACACCCGTTATGGTATATACAATTTACTCTGCACCAGGTGCAGTACAAAAAATTACCAACCAACTAACCATATTTTGAGTGAATCATATTTTATTTTACAAGGATATAAAAATGAATGTGTTACTTAAAACATGATAAAATCAGGACTTTTTCATCTGTTTACAGGTAAATAATGGGTACGAAGTATTTTTTGAAAATGTATCTTCTACCTTACCGCAAGCTTAATTAACCCAGTCTCACCTATTTAAATTGAGAACATCACGGTGTTTCAAAAAAAAATTTTTTTTTATTAATCTGCCAGCTAGATTTCTAGCCAGCAGAAGGTACCTTTGATATGCAGTATCTCCCATGGGTGTGGTATCGGATTAGGCCTGGAGACAGCCAGTGAAAATATTCCATACAGTCAGACTGTCCAGGAAGCATCCTGAAAAGATGTGGCCTTTACATTTTAGTCATTTAGCAGATGCTCTTATCCAGAGTGACTTACAGTTTTCATACCCCCTGTGGGAATCGAACCCACAACCCTGGCATTGCAAACACCATGCTCTATCAACTGAGCTACATCCCTGCTGGCCATTCCCTCCCCTACCCTGGACGACGCTGGGCCAATTGCGCGCCACCCCATGGGTCTCCCGGTCGCGGCCGGCTACGACAGAGCCTGGATTCGAACCAGGATCTCTAGTGGCACAGCCTTAGACCACTGCGCCACTCGGGAGCCTCTCTTCACTGTCAGATGAAACGATGTACAAGTCAAAACCCACTCTAATAAGTCTGTCTGTCTGTCTTTCTGCCTTTCTGTCTGTCTGAACACTGTGACCTGAGGTGGACGTGGCAGACTAATACTGTGTGCTGACATGCAGACTGGGAATGAGCATGGTTTACATCCAAAAACATAATGGATTGATTAAAGGGAATTGTAACACATACGGTAGATTTAAATAAATATCAACTTTGGCAAGAGTCTATGATGGTATGTGAATGAGATGTCCTCTTTGCTGGTGAAGAGAAAGTAAAACTGACATTCATTTGTCTTGTCATGTGAGACTGTCCGTTCGATCTTCCATTTATCAAATTGGCACAGCACATGGCAATACAATCATTAAATGACACTCATCATTTAAATCTTAATTAGGAGAGCTTGATGTATGGGCAGTGAGATACCTTTTGTTATTTCTCACATACTGTATGGAGACCACTAAGAACTAATTCAATTAGCATAATTGTAACTGTATATCACACAAGTGCTTACCTAGCACAAGGCATGCTGTGCTCACTTTTACAAATTGAAGTATTCAGAAAGTTTGATAAGTTAGATGTATAAATGGCAGCTTTAGATATTGGTCATCAGCATTCGTTTATTCACATTGTATAAACATTCTGAAGGATATGTATAGTGTGTCTTGATTTCATAAACTTTGATTAACACTTCTATGCCGACTTGTCAAACGTCAATATTTATATAAAGAACTCATTCTTACTAAGTTTCCTAGTTCCTGTGCCATTGTTATTAGCGACTGAGTTGCACAGTAACATTTGATCATATAAATACTGGTAATGTACTTTCTTTGTAGACATGTTGGAGGGGACAGAGTCTGTGTCGTGTCCAGGGGATCTCTCATGTCTTTGTCTCACTGCCATCTCTCTGTCACTGTGTGTGGCAGTCTGGACCTTATAGTTCTTATCAGAGGTCTTGTGATTGGAACTAATCCCCCTCTCGTCTAGTGGCATGTATGACTTAAAGCGCTGTCCCCAAATAATCTCATCTTCAGTGTAGGAGGTCCTCACATGGAAGGCTGTGCCTGAGAAGAAATACATATTTACAGTCAAGTTATAAGATTATATTATATACATCTGCTGTCGGAACCAGGCATTAAGGATACTGTAGGTCCCTTTCAATTTAACTATATTAATGATTTGATAATGATAACATAGAAATAATTCACAACCATTAATTTGAAAACAACAAGTTTCCTTTTCGCACTGATTGAATAGCCCAAACATTTATTTTATTCCAACTCCAGATTTCCCCACCTCTCAGTACAAACCTGCGTCTTGGACGGCTCCGTCCACCATGACCACAATTTCAAAGGTCTCCCACTTTAAAGAGTCAGCGCTGATGCCCCAGAGAGGACTTTGTTTATCAATGACATGCTCCACAGTCTGTGGCTCCACTGTGAACAGCCTGGCTCCATCTGGCCCCATCCCCAGAGTCAGCTCTCTCTGCTCCAACAGGATGAACTCTCCCTCTTTGGTATGGTGAGATTTGATCAGCTTGGCTCTTATCTCTGCCACCAGCATGTGTGTTTCTTTCAGAGTCTTGACGTTGAACATCAGGCACAGCCTCTCATCCCTCTCAGAGACCACACAGTGCTGACTGAACAACAGAGTGGGCAGCCTCCTCTTAGGCTTGGCTAGCTTGGCCAGGATGCAGCCCAGCATCAGAGCGTCTAACACTGATTCAATGATGGACTGTGCCATCATGAGAACCACCCTGTCCATGCAGTTGGCTGAGGCCACTCTAGAGCCGTAGCCATTGATGATTTGGCTGTCCATGGAGACAGAGAGGGCTGAATGGAAACTGTCCAGTTTCTCAAAGCATGGGTGCCATTGCGGGTCTTGTATGTGTTCCATATCACCACACAGCCAGGCACCCAGGAAGTAGAGCTCTGCAAAGGCTGTCCAGGTGACGATGTAGCACAGGGTAAAGACAAATAGGATCCAGCTGTACTTCAGATCCACCAGGGTGCCGATCAGGTCACACATCTTGTTCTTGGAGCTGTATGATGAGCCGCGACACATGCCATCCTTGGTGAAGTAGCGATGGTGCTGGCGACCATTAGAACTGGAACTCTTGTGTCGTATGTCTCCTGTACTCTTGGAAGAAGAAGATGTGGCCTTGTTCTGTGTTTTCTTCCCTTTACTAGGTTTACTAGAGCCTTTCTTAACCCAGGAGCTTCTGTCATAACTGGAGCAGCTCTCAGCACTCCTGGTCTGCCTTGCTTTGTGCTGTGATTGGATGATCCTCTGACTGACCGGCAGTGGGCTCTGTCTGGTGTTGGGCCGGGGAGGCCCCATGCCTAGCCCCAGTGTCGGAGAGAGATGCAGCTTTGGATGGTGAACAGGCACGGTGACATACTGACCCCTACTGGAGGTCCTGGAGATTTTCTTGGGATCGGCTAAAGATACTCTAGTGTCCACCTGCAATCAAGACATCAAGACAGAAAGGTGTCATCTGCAATCGAACAGTGAAGATATTGATAACAATACAATTATAAACTAGTCATCTTTGCAGTGAATATTGAGATGTTATAATGACCCTCCTCAGGTATGGTCTGCATGGGTTATATGGGTTGTGTCGAAGTGAAGCTCTGGGTCTGATGTTCTTCCTGGGGTATGGGGGAGGTCCATAGTTGCCATAGTCCCCATAGAGTGAACAGCTGTTGGAGATCACCGTGGAGAGCATGGCTGGAATCCCCCTCTGTGGACCATAGACCAGTCACCAACACCTGAGAGACAGAGAAAGAAACCGAGACAAATCGACAGGGGTGTCCAACGTTTATAGTGTCAACAAGACAAGCTAGAAAAAACGTTTATCACCTGTGCAAGTCAAAAAATCAGGTTTACAATAATATTATTTTATGATGTGTGCAGGGTGACACTTGTATCCAGACTGAGAACATAGAGCTAGAGTTGACATGTCCCTGTTTGTGTCTTGTTGTAAAGACTAAATATGATGGAGAGGGTGGATAAGAGCAGGCCTGCTGCTCCAGTCAATCTCCAGTCCAGATGGTGTGTAATGTGCTGCCCACCATGCTCACACTAATTAAACAGAGGAGATTACATTAGCACCAGCTCTTAATCAATCTGCTCGTCTACAGAGCATGACCATGGATTTCAGGAGATTACAGAGGAGATAATCCTTTTTGCACATGTGTAACTAAATTTAGCCCACCTTTCATCTTTTCAAAATGGCTCCATTACATTTGGTGGATCTCATGCTCATCAACTACATAAACAGGACAGGATCGTTCTGTGTCAGCACAGTTGTAATACACTAGTGGACTATTCCATCATTGCAAACAAACTAGGAGCTTCTTTACTACGTCCAAGTCATTGTGTGTTGTCACTATGCTCTGCTGGTGGATAAACTGTGTTGGTATAGACATGTGTTGGTATAGATGTGTAGGTATAGACATGTGTTGGTATAGACATGTGTTGGTATAGACGTGTTGGTACAGACATGTGTTGGTATAGACATGTGTTGGTATAGACGTGTTGGTACAGACATGTGTTGGTATAGACATGTGTTGGAATAGACATGTGTTGGTATAGACATGTGTTGGTATAGACATGTGTTGGTATAGACATGTGTTGGTATAGACATGTGTTGGAATAGACATGTGTTGGTACAGACATGTGTTGGTATAGACGTGTTGGTATAGACATGTGTTGGTATAGACATGTGTTGGTATAGACATGTGTTGGTATAGACGTTTTGGTACAGACATGTGTTGGTATAGACATGTGTTGGTATAGACATGTGTTGGTATAGACGTGTTGGTATAGACATGTGTTGGAATAGACATGTGTTGGTATAGACATGTGTTGGTATAGACATGTGTTGGTATAGACATGTGTTGGTATAGACGTGTTGGTACAGACATGTGTTGGTATAGACATGTGTTGGAATAGACGTGTTGGTACAGACATGTGTTGGTATAGACGTGTTGGTACAGACATGTGTTGGTATAGACATGTGTTGGAATAGACGTGTTGGTATAGACATGTGTTGGTATAGACGTGTTGGTACAGACATGTGTTGGTATAGACATGTGTTGGTATAGACGTGTTGGTATAGACATGTGTTGGTATAGACATGTGTTGGTATAGACATGTGTTGGTATAGACATGTGTTGGTATAGACATGTGTTGGAATAGACGTGTTGGTATAGACATGTGTTGGTATAGACATGTGTTGGTATAGACGTGTTGGTATAGACATGTGTTGGTATAGACATGTGTTGGTATAGACATGTGTTGGTATAGACATGTGTTGGTATAGACGTGTTGGTATAGACATGTCGGAATAGACATGTGTTGGTATAGACCATAGCAATGCTGTGTTTCTATTTTTATTGTGTTTTTCGATTCAGTAAGTTAGAATTACATTTTTACTGAGTTTCCATTACTCAGTAAAAATGTCATTCTAACTTACTGAATCGAAAAACAATAAAAATGGAAACACAGCATTGCTATGGTCTATACCAACACATGTCTATTCCGACATGTCTATACCAACACATGTCTATTCCAACACATGTCTATACCGACATGTCTATACCAACACGTCTATACCAACACATGTCTATACCAACACGTCTATACCAACACATGTCTATACCAACACGTCTATACCAACACATGTCTATACCAACACATGTCTATACCAACACATGTCTATACCAACACATGTCTATACCAACATGTCTATACCAACACATGTCTATACCAACACATGTCTATACCAACACATGTCTATACCAACACGTCTATACCAACACATGTCTATACCAACACATGTCTATACCAACACATGTCTATACCAACACGTCTATACCAACACATGTCTATACCAACACGTCTATACCAACACATCCCAAACCCACAAATAAACATAGAAACAAGTAAATATAAACAAAAGGTAGTACCTGTGATGAAGAATTCCCTCTGGTTATTGACTGGATGCAGCTACTGTATGGGTGCCTTTCTGCTTAGTGGTGTGTGGTAGAGTAGAGGGAGGGTAGAGAGGCAGTGACTTATCCCTTCCCTCATCTGTAGCAGCTAGACAAACCCACACAGCTGTTAGTCTGGCATCGTGCCACTAAGGGTCACCAAACCGCCTGTCATGACTTCAGCTGCATGCTACAGTGAGACAGGAAAACACAACCGTTTTATATGCTATTTTATATGTTTTACTCTGTAAGTGTCCTTGGGGTATTTTGAAAGGCACAAATAAAATGTATTATTATTATTATTATTATTATTATTAACACAACCGTCATGGATTTGCATTTTGATATTTTATAACATATTCAAACACTGAACATTTTCCTGTAGTGCATGTGAATAGTATGCAAAAAAAAACAGACAGTACAAACTCACTTTACTTGACTGATGACACAATAAAGACCTGCATTGTAAAATAGTTCCTTTTTAATTATTTTTTCATCATGCCACAGAACACTGATGCGTAAAGAGAGCTGTACCTGAATCCACACTGAGAAAACACTTGTACACACAGTGTTACAAAGCAGTAATGCAAAAGGATTTAACACACATGGCAAGAAGAACAACCCTGATTGGACACCAGGACAAGCACTGACTGAACTGGTGCTGAGGTAGACAAACATTTACATAAACTCTACCTAAATGATGATCATCGCATCCTTATAGTACACACACCAAATAAAACGACTTCTGCTTTATTATAACATAGAAAGATCAAAGAAAAACATGTTTTTAAAGTGCTCTGATAGTTTTGGTCCACCACGGAAATCCTAAAATCTTTATAATGCATGTGTATATGTACACTGAACAAAAATATAAACGCAACATGTAAAGTTTCATCAGCTGAAATAAAAGATCCCAGAAATGTTGCATACGCACAAAAAGCGTATTTCTCTCAAATTTTGCACACAAATTTGTTTACATCCCTGTTATTTACACATTTCTCATTTGCCAAGATAATCCATCCACCTGACAGGTGTGACCTATCAAGAAGCTGATTAAACAGCATGATCATTACACAGGTGCACCTTGGGCTAGGGACAATAAAAGGCCACTCTAAAATGTGCAGTTTTGTCACACAACACAATGCAGATGTCTCAAGTTTTGAGGGAGCATGCAATTAGCATGCTGACTGCAGGAATGTCCACCAGAGCTGTTGCCAGAGAAATGGATGTTAATTTCTCTACCATAAGCCGCCTCCAACATCGTTTTAGAGAATTTGGCAGTACGTCCAACCGGCCTCACAACCGCAGACCACGTGTAACCACACCAGCCCAGGACCTCCACATCTGGCTTCTTCACCTGCGTGATCGTCTGAGACCAGCCACCCGGACAGCTGATGAAACTGAGGAGGATTTCTGTCTGTAATAAAGCCCTTCAATGGGGAAAAACGTTTGATTGGCTGGGCCTGGCTCCCAAGTAGGTGGGCCTATGCCCTCCCAGGCCCACCCATGGCTGCGCCCCTGCCCAGTCATGTGAAATCCATAGATTAGGGCCTAATGAATTCATTTCAATTGACAGATTTTCTTATATGAACTGTAACTCAGTAAAATCATTGAAATTGTTGCATGTTGCATTTATATTTTTGTTCAGTATATAATAGATAGTAGTACAATGAAGATGAGTTGGTACTTTTAATTGTTTTCATGGCACTGAGTGTTGGCTGTTTGTTCTAGAAGACCATAGTGTTAGATAGACCCATATTTGCCCAACGTCTAGCTTTATAAAGATTATTAACAATACCACTATGTATTCTGTGTTTTCTGTAAATGTATTCCCATTCAATAAATTCACAATCCAATTGTTACTTTGACATGACAGAACATTTTGAAAGAAAATCTCACTCGTAAACTTTGCTTTGAGGCATGAGGTACCTGGGGCATAATACCATAATCATTAGAAGTATCTTGTTTCAAATGACAATGTTTAGACAATAGGGTCTTCTATGGCATAGCAGTGAAAATATGTTCTTCACTAACAATAAAGAAACACCATGGAACAACAACGATCAATACAACATACATGTACTTTATACATGTATTCAGCACATCTATTCTCCATTTATAAAAGAGGCACAGGGAGGGCTCTTACTCAAATCATACTCCAGAGACTTACAAAACACACAAGAAAATATGTTTCTTAAATCAAAACAAATGTAAACAAATTGCAAATCACTCTAATACAAAAATACAACATCTTTAAATCAGAGAAGCCCTCATTTGGCTCTCTTCTAGAAATAAGATACAATTACATTTTGTACATTTACAGAAACAGACATTACAACTGACGATAACCTGCTTTTAGTGATTTAACTTTACAGAATCATCTTTTCACATTTAGTAAAAAAGACAACACTTTTATTCACATTTTCTTTCTTTTCATCACTTAGAGAAAAATCGAATTCTGTGATTTAACAGACTGCTATATTTCTACTGATAAAAAATTCTACACATAAAAGTCACTTTGAAGACTTTCAAATCTTTTTTTTCCACCCAACAGGCAACCGTACGAATCAATTCCATGAATTAATTCTCAGAAGATTTAAAACCGCTTGACCAATATAAAAGGCCATTTGAAGTTAAAGCTACAGATGATGGATGAAAACAGGATGAGAAACAGCAGTTCTAAGATGTGCTATTGCCTCTGAGCAAAAGTTGAAGATTGAAGAGGTAGCGCTTATTCTAATAACAAAATAAACGACCTTGAGGTTGGGTCAAAATAACCAACCTATTTCGTAAACAAAATCGATGCATGACATAAATAGCAAAACCTGTTACACCTTAATGCTTGTCAATCAGCATGAGCAGAAATAATAACTGACAGGTAGGGGAAATCATATGCGTAATATGCGCACTGAAAAATAAGACGCAAATTAAATAAAGCACTTGGAGGCCATTCAAGTAAAACATGCAGAAAACAAACAACACACCAAAAAATCTATAACAGGAAATAATAAGAGAGGAAATGTTTGTTTATCTCAATCAATCTACGTAGTATAGTACTGCAATTCCACCAGAGAAGTTCGGTTCTACATCTCACAATCACAGTCACAGCAGATAGAACTCAATATCCTTTCTAGTGCAACACTTTCACTGCTGTGGTAACCTGACCAGTAGTCTTTCAGCCTTCAACACATATGCAGGTTTAATGTAATGACAGATCATTGCGGCAATTCGTGATAAAACCAATCAAACCACAGAAATGAGAAACATACTTTTCTTTAGAGGAAACAATAAGATGAAAAACCTGCCCACACATAGGATAGTGTGTCTTAGTGTCTAAGTCCTGCTCAGACGTAGCATACGTACAGGTAGGTCTTCTCTATCCCCCAGTCCGTGGGCACATCCTCGGGTCTGTGGCTCTTCATGTGTTTCTGCATGGCTGCCAGGCTGGGGCAGAAGTCCTGGCAGATGGTACACTGGTAGGGCGACGCTCCGTTGTGGGTACGCAGGTGCTTGATCATGGCAGAGTAGTCCCTGGATCGCTGGTGACAGATCTTGCACTCAAATGGCTTCTCACCTATAGGAATACAACAGCATACTTGTGAAACCGTTCCTTGACTATATGCTAAAACCAGTGGTACTGGCACACATTGGTTTGACCTATGTGTATGCTGTCATGAACACAAAACAATCTGACATGTGAGTGTGTTGTTATTATGACCATGCACTGTTCTGATTTGTGGTCTGATTTGATTGTGTCTGTGTTATTACGACCTGACACTGCTCTCTAACCTGTGTGTACGCGGTAGTGGGTCTCCAGCTGGTGCTTGAGGCTGAACCTTTTACCACAGCCGTTACACTCGTAAGGCTTCTCTCCTGTGTGGATACGTTTGTGTCCCCTCAACATGCCATCGTCCCGGAAACAGCTCCCACAGAACTCACACTCAAACGGGTGATCACCTGGAGACACAGGTTAGACACAGGTTGGGTAAAGGTTGGATACACGTCATTACAGGTGTCATAATGCTAAACAGTATCTAACAGTTCAGGTAGGCCTCCGCTATTCAGCAAACAAATGGTATCAAAGGGTTACTTTATCGTGAGTACTACTTGCATATGATAAATGTAAAGTTGTACAGGTCAATAAAAACAGAACATTTTTGCATATCAGGCTAAAAAAAAAGAATGTGCTTTCAGATATATATAATAATAATAATAATAATAATAATAATAATAATAATATAATATACTGTATACAATAATGTTATGACATGTGAGGACACTCCATCCGGCTGCCTGCTAACAGCTAATAGAAGTCCTCCAGACAGGTGGTGCTCTCCATAGTTGATCCATTTCTCTCTGAGGCTGTGGCTTTGAGTCATCTGCAATGACCTATGTGTCTCATTAGCTCAGTGTCCACAGCAACAGCCAAGTGGGAGAATACACTGCACTGTTCATTATAGCCTGATGCTTCACAAAGCCCCCCATGCTACAAGACACATGACATTTACACATGATACTACCAAGATGACTGTGATATAAACAAGATACACAACGATGGGCAAACTCCGCTTCACATCAATTATGTTTTTGTTCAATATAGATGTGGATCAGAAGAAGGGGTCTCTCTCTCTCTCTCTCTCTCTCTCTCTCTCTCTCTCTCTCTCTCTCTCTCTCTCTCTCTCTCTCTCTCTCTCTCTCTCTCTCTCTCCTCTCCCTCTCCCTCTCCCTCTCCCTCTCCCTCTCTCCCCCCCTTAGGGCACCACTGACTAACTCTCAGAGAAAAACACAGATATTTGCTGTTCTTTAGATATTTATTTAGGTTTGCTCTGTCATTTGGGGAGAACTGCAGTAGAACTGACAGACATGAATCGCGTGTCTAAGAACCTAAAAACTGTGTCTAAGAACCTACAAAATAAACTGGATGATAAAATAGCCTCAAACGTAACACTGGCTATATCGGAGCATTACTGTCTACAGGAAAGTGAATCATTGCGGAGTTTATTAACGTTAAGAGAATGTAGACATGATCAAATAAGTGAAACTGACTGTAATTGAAAAACTCTGGTCTTATGCTATTTCAGTCTGGTGCCAAGAGAGAAGTAGTAGTTCAAGGTATTTAAGGATTAAAGGTTTGAGGTTTATGGGAATTGATCTCATTGCAGCTTTGGATTGTGTGTTATTGTAGGCAATGATGTTGACAGATATGACAGTGATGATGATGATTACGATGATGATGATTATGATGGTGATGAAAACATTGATGATGATGATGATGATGATGACGAAGATGACAATGGACACAGATGCAGTCCTTACCTGTGTGTGAGCGCAGGTGGCGTTTGAGGGTGGTGTGGCTGGGGAAGAGGTGGTCACAGTGGCTGCAGACGTAGCTGTGCATCCCTGCATGAACCTCCATGTGCTGCTGCAGAGCCTTCTGGGTCTGGAACCGCTTGGCACACAGCAGACAGAACACTGCCATGTCTGTCCCTGGAGACCACACAGAGACACAGACACAGTTATTTCAGGACCAAACATACACTCAGTGGGGAAACTGGGTCACTCAACTCTGAGCCTGAGACTCTCTGAGTGTTCTGAGGAGAATGGTTCTTTCAAAGAGCAAAGTGTTTCTACCTAAACTAACCCCCCTGACAGGCGTGAAATTCATTCAGTTTGACTTTATACACTTTTCTGATTGACGTTGACTTGGAAGTCATTGTCTTTTAGAGATAAAAAAATAAAATAATACACAGGATGCTAGAACTGTCAATCACATAATCAATGCCTTCTCCTTATGGGATGATAAAATAGGAATTATTCTCCTCAATCCCCATCAAGCCTGTGCTCCAGCAGCCTCTGGAGTCCTCTGTGTCTGTTCACAGAGAGAGGCTGATAGCAGCTCCACCCTGAACGATGCCTACACTATGAGCTATGTGCTGAATGTTAAGTAGCGATATCAAGCCATTAAAGGCAGGACTGCAGGAAAAACACAATCCTTTTAATCCCGTGTGTGACCTGGCATCACTTTGGGGCTGCTCTCCTGTTGCGCTGAGAGTGGAGCAGAATACAGATAGGGAAACACAGGCTAGTTTTACTCACACAGGATCTGTGAAGAACCACCATTAAATACTCACACACAATATACAGGGTTCTCACTTTTTCTTAACACTATTCAAATGACCCCTTTGCTTATCCTTCTCATGAAAATTCTAATGTGAGGTAGGACTGAATCATCAGTTCATCGGGTAATCAATTCCACTGATAATAATGTATGAGTCCTGCAGAGAGGTGGTCCATGTTAGGTTATGAGGTCGTTATTTCCGTGTCTGCTCGGTTTAGGATAATTTACAAAGCAGGTCCCATTGCTCACGACTCGGATTCAATCAGACATCTCCAGCGGTGGATCATTAGCAAGCAGAAGGCTATGCAAGCGTTTCATTGGAATTCAAGTGGGGTTGCTGAGTTGCATTTAACATTCAGTCTGATGAGGTCCACTAAATCAAATCATTTGTTACTGTTATTGAAGTGCCTTGAGGCAACTGGCAATTAAATTGGAATTAGTGCATTGCAGGGAAAGAGAAACAGCACACACATACTAAGACAGGAGATTTTCAGACAGTGTTTGGAGTTCAATCAAGTTAACAGACAAGGATATTTATAGTCAATAATTCATTTAATTTCAGCAATAAATCATATTATCTCTCTATTGTTGACCTTTTCCTGCAATCCACATGACAAAATTTCTCAAAAATCGTCCTTTTATTTTAGTCATGATGATTCATAGATACACTTCACTTACTGAACCACTACATAACCTACTCTGAGTGAGTCAGTCAGTATCTTAGTGCCTCACATTACATGTGGTCCTCTTCACAAACGACTGGGAATACACAACATGAAAGGCCTAGCTTACATTAGGCCTAATTTATAGGATGAATTGTGTCACTAATATTCAGAATATTTCTAAGACTACATGCATCTGTGTTGTTTTTCTTTTCTCTCTTGTTATTAGATATTGATCATAGGACTTGATTTAATTAAAGTAGAGCTTGCTGTGATTTGCCCTAAACGGCACTAAGAGAATTTAGCATTATTTCTACTCATTAACAAAGAAGAGAGAAGATGAGAGATGTTCTCCACTCCACACCATGCAGCAGAAAGAGAGCCTACTGGAATGCACTGCACCTGTTCACTAGCTTTATTCCAGTGGCCATCTATCGTCACAATAGAAACACAATGTGGTTCGGACCCCTCAATGGCCAGGTCCATTAGTCATAGGCTCCTCATGCAACTCCTACTCTTCCAGCCTTTGTGTAGTAGCCTAATGATCAGGGCTTTTCTCACCCACGGATCACAATGTTTTACCGATGGACAAAAGATCTTCCCTGTACCGCCCCCAACCCTGACTAGACAGGAAAGTTTCTCTGTTATGTCTCACTGTCCAGCTGACTATGTACTTTCTTTGGTTTCTGATTATTTCTAAAGAAGCAGAGCTACCCCTTGACTGGAATGCACCAAAAGTCTAGGCTAAATAGAGATGTATCCTAAAAAGCAAAAAGACCTTTAGGAACTACTGAATCCATTCTGTGCTGCTTGACCTGTGGTACTACATGAACAATCATCGATCAATCTCAATGCAGCCAGCAGGAGGAGTGCTCTTTACTCTTCTACTCCTTCTAGCCTCCAACATGCTGGAGGGGGCCTCAAATGATACAGTACAATTAGTTACTTCTGTATAATGAAATGTTTTCCTCAGTACATTTTCTCACTCAGTATCAACATTTTGACATGAGCTGTCATTCCTCAATTCTTCTTATTCCTTCATTCTTAAAATGTCCATTTAATGACCATTCCCATAAGTCTGCGTTCTGCCTATTTTGAGAACTAAACCATTAAACAGTCTGGATTCATTCTTGTTCTGCTCGTCATTTCCTGCTTCTAGACACTCAGATGCTCAGTCAATACCCCCTCATCCCACTGCCATGAAAAGAATGTGAAACTGTCAAAACAAAAGCTCTCACTTAATAACGATCTCAGTCCCACATCCACAGTGACAACACCTTGAATAATACACTAGTTACCAGTAACAACTCAACTTCATTGAAAGAAAATAGTCCCTTAAATAAAAGCAGTAGATAAAAGTGACAGAGACAGAGGTGCAGCACATACAGTATGCATATATACTGACATTCATTAGTTTGATGACTACCTGCACCAGCGCACCCTGTTAACTTTCACACAAAAACACTTGCTTTCACAGCAGCTTTTTCCAGAAAGCTTTGCTCCTTAGTGCAGAGCAGCCCTTCTGTGAGAAAACACGATCTCCAGTAGGCATGCCACTGCCCCCACTGCCCCCTGCTTTCTCACCCTTAACCAGACAAAGGGAATGGGATTTGGTGTTCTGACCTCTTGACCCTAGGTCCTCAGTGCGGTAAACACCATGTAATCAATGGTATTCCTCAAAGGCTGGATGGCTGACTGAGCATTGTGCCTCTCTATTGAGTCACACAGGGGAGGGGCCTTGCAGACATTCCACAGAGAAAGATTATTTAACTTCAGTTTAGTTTCTCTCAGTAAACTTTAGACAGTGTACCCAGAGCTAAACTCATTCCAGAGTTCATTCATTCTATGTTCCAATCTGAAAAAAAGGAGCCAGGAGAATTTCTAGCCAGGAGAAGGGAAGAGAAGATCAGCCTGGTAGTTTAATTAAACGTCAACCATTTATCAGATCAGTCATCAGATCAGAACATGACATGGGAGCATTTAACAGCCAATCAATAGTCCAACTAAGGCAGGGAACACAGAGGAAGTGGCTTAACAGACAAAAACATGTCTCTAGGCAACCAGATTGGATCATGGCCCTCCTTGGGGTGAAGTATTCAAACTAATCCCTCCATTCACAAATAAGCAAAGCCTGTTCCTTTTCTAAAGACTAACAAAAGTTTTCCCACCCTGAGAATCCCACAGTAACCCCACTGCAAATTGAACAAGAGATTGCATTATGTTTATACAGATCTCTGCAACATTCTCTATCTTTAGGTTTAGTTCACCACAGATCTCCATCTAATCTCATTGATCTGTGTTAACAGCACGTTTCTGTGCAGGTCTCACCATAACTACACTACAAAGCAACCATGGACTGCTCCTTTAAACCAGTATACAAAATAAGATATGAATGGTTTTAGAGCTGTTTAGCTCAACCTACACAGTGGCTCTGGGAAATATTGAGCCATGAAATCAAAGAGTCTAAACTAATTTTCTTAAGATCGGTGAAAGAGTTGAAAGTACTATGCCACACTCTTCAAAGAGCTTGCTTGCTTATTGAAGTCAGATTCACTGAAAGGAGCTATAACTGATTGCTGATTGGCTCAACATGAAGGTGCTATGAGTAAAACTATTAATATGCTCACCTCAGCATTTATCACTCACTAGCTGCTCCTGTGACCCAGTTACACATATACACTATGTACATTACATCAAGCAATGAGCATCAGACCAGCAGGGGGAAAACCTAGTGCCTTCCCTATGAGCTCAAGATGTAGAAAATAATGTTGAAAATATGTATTTTTGGTTAAAAATACATTGAAAAGACGTTGAACAGACATCGGAAAGATGTCTTTCAACCAATTTTGGTCACTGGGTTCAGACTAGGCCTACAGACAGACAGTAACCATACAGGACCTCAGATGACCCCAGGCAGGCCAGCCACTGATCAGCAGACCGCTAATCTACCAGAGTGAGGAACAAACAGCTCAATAATTAACGCATCAAGAGATACGTTGCTCGTGTTTAACCACCATTCCATCTTCCATGGCCTGTTTCATTGAGGTCACCCGCTGTCTCCAATCTGTAGTTTGGATTCAAACATTTTTTGCACATTTTCCAAATAGCATTCATCATACATAAAGACAGAGTAGAGGCCTGCAGGGCCTGAATGAGTGGAGTAGCACTAGGCAGTGTGTACTGTGTACACAACCCAAAATAGCTAGAGGCCAGCAAAATAGACTAGGGGGTAAGTAGAGTACAGTATGACTCAGGACTTGAAGATCTGTACCAATGATTAGCTATTTATAAGTGGAATAGGGGGTATACATTTCAACCGATTGCATATTAATTATTGTGAATGCAGCTTGCACAATAATTATTGCTCAATTAAATTAGGTCTATTTCATTATGCACTTAGGCAGTATTGAATGTACAATAAAGTGTGATGGAGTACGATGTGTTCTCTGTATAATAGGGGTTATGTGTACTGTAGACATTCAGCAGAGGAAGTGTTAATGTGTAGGATAAGGGCAGCTGTTTGTAAGAACACACAAAGACAGCACTCTCAGGCTCTTCTCCTGCAGACGAGATGGCAGAATGGTTAGCCACTATCTTCTGCACCATGTCCAGTCCATTTCTACGCTCTATGATTTGCTCAAATTCCTGGGTTTTTCCAAAACTGCTCAAACAAGATGATACCACAGAGAACCTAGTTAACATGGTCTGATGAAATAAAGTCATTGTTGGCTGAGAGGTTTCGAGACGGTTCCATTTTTTTTATTTTGGGCACTCACAAGTAGGTCAGAGGCAGAGCGGATGGAGATCGTGACAGAGGGGGCTGTGGCGGGGACTGAGTAAACAGCAGCACATGATGTTGTTTTCCTGGGAGTCCTTGCATCCAATGCCACCAACCCTCCCAACCAACGCCCTCAGGAACTCCCCCCTAACCAGCCCCTTCCACACGGTCCCACCCCCTTCCCATAACGCCAACCCATGGCCACTCACCTCTGACATTCACATTGCCAAAACACACTCTCACTCACTGGAAATAAGCTAGGCTCTGCAGTGCAGTCCCTGTAGTGTGATCAATATGAGAGCCAACAAGGTCTTTGTTAAGTAGGGGTGTTTTCCTTCTTGAGGAGGCTGGATCAGTAAACGAAAGGGCTACAGCTGCTAAGGTCTGACCTGTGATAATGTGCCAAGAGGAAACTTGTTTGGCTTACTGGCCTACTGTCACATGGCGATATACAAAGCCATGGTAACAAGATTCATTCAGCCAGTGATCTCAAAGGTTATAAACCTAAGATGTGTTGAAAGTATAATCAAAAGAGGACCATAGCGCTCTCCCAAAAGTTTGGTTGGTGCGTTAAACCCGTGAATCCTTCTTCAGTGTGAAGAAGGCAAATAAGCCTAAATGTCTGTGTATGCTATCCTGATGCAGTAAGAAGAATATACAGTGCATTCGGAAACTATTCACACCCCTTGACTTTTTCCACATTTTGTTACGCTACAGCCTTATTCTGAAATTGATGAAATAGTTTTTTTTTTAAACACAATACCCCATTATGACAAAGCAAAACGTATTTTCTTGTAATTTTTGCAAATTTATTAAAAATAAAAAACGGAAATATCACATTTACATAAGTATTCAGACCCTTTACTCAGTACTTTGTTGAAGTACCTTTGGCAGCAATTACAGCCTTGAGTCTTCTTGGGTATGACGCAACAAGCTTGGCACACCTGTATTTGGGGAGTTTCTCCCATTCTTCTCTGCAGATCCTCTCAAGCTCTGTCAGGTTGGATGGGGAGCATTGCTGCACAGCTATTTTCAGGTCTCTCCAGAGATGTTTGATCGGGTTCAAGTCCGGGCTCTGGCTGGGCCACTCAAGGACATTCAGAGACTTGTCCCGAAGCCACTCCTGCGTTGTCTTGGCTGTGTGCTTAGGGTTGTTGTCCTGTTGGAAGGTGAACCTTCGCCCCAGTCTGAGGTCCTGAGTGCTCTGGAGAAGGTTTTCATCAAGGATTTCTCTGTACTTTGCGCCGTTCATCTTTCCCTCGATCCTGACTGGTTTCCCAGACCCTGCCGCTGAAAAAGTTCCCCACAGCATGATGCTGCCACCACCATGCTTCACCGTAGGGATGGTGCCAGGTTTCCTCCATATGTGACGCTTGGCATTCCCCATCCAACCTGACAGAGCTTGAGAGGATCTGCAGAGAAGAATGGGAGAAACTCCCCAAATACAGGTGTAGCGTCATACCCAAGAAGACTCAAGGCTGTAATCGCTGCAAAAAGGTGCTTCAACAAAGTACTGAGTAAAGGGTCTGAATACTTATGTAAATGTGACATTTCCTTCTTTTTTTTTTTTACATTTGCAAAAATTTCAAAAAAACTGTTTTTGCTTTGTCATTATGGGGCATTATGTGTAGATTGATGAGGAAAAAAAACGATTTAATCAATTTTAGAATAAGGCTGTAACATAACAATATGTGGAAAAAATCAAGGGTCTGAATACTTTCAGAATGAACTGTATATATTTAAAAAATAAAATAAATAAAGCTTTATGCAACATCTTTTTGAGTGCAGAAGACCATCACACTTTTTTGCTTGTGTTGAAAGTATAAAAACATTTGAAGGTTTATACTGTACAGTGAATGTATATTCTAAAAGAGAATGTGTACAGTAGCTGAATTCCCTAGAACCACCAAACAGCTCCAAAAAATCATACTATTCCGGTCAGAGCACAGCCTGAGTACAATGTACAGCCTGAGTACAATGTAGCAGTAAGAGGGTAATGTGTCACACTAGACCAAGCTGAGATCATGACAAAATGAGTGAGTAATGCCCTCTTGTACCCTGCACTAGATACGCTGCCAAGCCAAAAACTGAGCCCTGGATGTTTACAACCTGAGGGAGAGGAGGTAGAAACTTTGGGCATCGTTAACACCCCTCCCTGTCTCCAGGCATTAACTATTCATACTGTGTGTGGCACCTGGAGTTACAGTTACATGCCAACACTTCGGAGCGGGTTATCAGCTTTCTCTGACAGTAGCAGCAAAGGTGTGGATTCAGACACTCAACGTGGATCGACTGTAGGGTTTGATTAAGATGATTAAAAATATAGTTTAATTTAGATACTGTAATGACTGGGATTCAGGCACGGGGAGAGGGTCTGAATGTTTGGAAGGATGACAAATACACGCAGCTTTGATTTCAACTTCATTTGTATAACTTCAATACGAGATACTCAGTCAGCTGATTAGACGAGCGTCTAGCTAATTAGAACCATTGGGTTTCAGAATAGTTCCCAAGCACTGATGTCCATTATCTTCTGAGCTGGAGAGGATAAATACTCAGAGTCTATCACCATGAGATCATTCCCAAACAAAATGTGTTGATCCAAGTTGTTGACGTGAGTTGGAGCAATAGAGTAAATACCCTCTCGGCTCCTCACGCACATAGCCTAGATGCATGGCATATCTATGACAATGTCATGTCCTTGCAGTGTGGCCTAGGCTTGCCTGGTGTGTCAGGCTTGCCAGCACAGTGGTAAATAGGCATGCACCCACATGGGATGCCAGGAGATATTAGTGGGTGATATCTGAGAGGGCCTTCCCGTCCTCGCTAGCCACTGATAAATTATGGAGCAACATGACAGGGACAGTTTAACCCTGCCAGCACAATGACAAGGATGTTAATCCCCATAGACATAGATTTATGAAACGTTTTTTGAATAAGCTGCAAGAGAGTACGTTACATATGCGGACCTCAAACAGTGTCCTGTCAATTGTAGCCTCCTTGTTTAAGGGCAATGAATGAGTGTCTGTGAGTCATTGGGTACTTGTACGTTTTCAACCGTGAGCTATGTTTGTCTGTGGGCCTTACCTGTGTGTGTGTGTGTGTGTGTGTGTCAGACAGTACCTGTGTGTGTCTGTCTGTGGGCCTCCAGAGCGTCTTCAGCAGAGAATGTAGCTCCACATTGATCACACACCAGGGCCTCAGCTCCAGCTGCAGGGGGAAACCACAGTCATGTGTCATCATCAAACACTCAACATATTGTGTATATTATTTTGTGAGATGTAAACATTCAAGTATACAGTATGAGAAAACGATCAGCAACTCTGAATCTCAGATGGCTATAAAAGCTGCACTTTTATTTCCGAATCAAACCACATTTCTTATAGGTGATTAAAATCCATATCAAACCTTGAGCCAATGCAACGCTCTATTTAAAAGTCCCTAAGTACCCATCCTCTTCTGTGAACATTTTTGGTTGTTTACAGTTACACAAGGAGTCACACACAGTACAAAAGAACAGAACCCAGTCGAAAAGACACAACTCTGGCCAAACAAAGGCACCAGACAGTGTTCCGTGGCTTCTCTCTTTCACAGTGAGGAGCTGAGCTGAAGAGTAGTATTTACCCTGTTATCATGCTCTGAACAGTGTGCAGCCTGTCTGCCTGAGTTGCCACAAAAGGACTGGGTGTTCTGTGCACAGCAGACGCTCTGCTCTGAGCCCGCGGCACATGCCTTTATCAGAAACAGTCCAGAGAAAACACTCCCTACTCTTCTCCGTCAGTAACACACAGCACCCTGCTCACCTTTAGAATGCCCTTGTCTTTTCCTATGAAGAGATCAGAGAAGACAAGGGCACTAACACCACTCAGCTATAGGAGATGCCAGTTGCTCTGACAAATGGTGATTCTGCACACACATGTGGGTGTGGGCAAATACATGCATACTCACACACACACACACACACACACACACACACACACACACACACACACACACACACACACACACACACACACACACACACACACACACACACACACACACACACACACACACACACACACATGGATGTGGGCTGGCTCTCGGTGAGATGTAAATCGGTTTCAGATCCATACTGGCCCAGGGCTCATTCACTGATCTATTTTCTGCTCAGCTGGCTTTAAATGAAGTTAAAATGACTCATTAAAACGCCCACAAGCTTTGGAAACTGGGAGCGCTACAGCCTAAATGTAGTTCTCTTTCAACTCTCCCCACCTCCCTGTACAGCTGCACCACTAGTCCCAATGCTGTAGCTAGATACAACCACCTCATCCACAGATTTTACCTCATTTCAGATCCTTTAACATTTTTGTGAAAACAAAACATTTCAGCATACTATGTAGCCTTTACCTAGATGTATTGTGATGTACTGCAGGGCTGTCCTTGGCTGAGAGAAGTATTTTAAGGACGGTAAATTCTATGTTGTGTGCTGTGTTATGTTCTGTGACAGTGTGTCCAGTTTGTTATGTTCTGTGACAGTGTGTCTAATGTGTTATGTTCTGTGACAGTATGTCCAGTTTGTTATGTTCTGTGACAGTGTGTCCAGTTTGTTATGTTCTGTGACAGTGTGTCCAATGTGTTATGTTCTGTGACAGTGTGTCCAGTTTGTTATGTTCTGTGACAGTGTGTCCAGTTTGTTATGTTATGTGACAGTGTGTCCAGTGTGTTATGTTCTGTGACAGTGTGTCCAGTTTGTTATGTTCTGTGACAGTGTGTCCAGTGTGTTATGTTCTGTGACAGTGTGTCCAGTGTGTTATGTTCTGTGACAGTGTGTCCAGTGTGTTATGTTCTGTGACAGTGTGTCCAGTTTGTTATGTTCTGTGACAGTGTGTCCAGTGTGTTATGTTGTGCTGTTGGGAGATTGTGTGTGATTAGGGAGGAAGAGAACATAGTGCATTGTCTTGTGCAGTCAAAGGCATGGAGTGTGTTCTCATCCATAAACCATCAAACTGTCTCCAGACGCAGCTGCAATAGTCCTCCATCAAAACACTTTGTCTGGCATACCAAAATACGAACCAGCATCGAGCTGAATACCAAATCAGCCCATTAGAGCTGTGGAGCACTGGCTCCTTAGCAACCAACAGAGGATCTAAAGGCTGCTATGGGCTATACAGCAACACACAATGAAATAAGATCAAACTCTCTTTTTTTGTGCAATACAGAGGCTATATATTTGGTGTGTGAATACAAATCAGATGAAAGAAAGTTTCAGAAATATATTTCGTAATGAAAGATCAAAGTATCTAAATGATGTCTAACAGGCCTATATTACACACACTATAGCCCGTATGTCTCATCAGGTCATACCGATGCAGACAGGATGAGTAAAGATAGTAGCCACTAGCAGAATGTGTCTAGACCTGATGCAGCTATTGTGTTCCGATCACAGAGTTCCGAACATGGAATTCCAAACTCATCATTGCGTCTACACCTGGATTTAAAATGTGTCTACTGTGACGAGGTCAGGTAGTTTATGAACACAGTTTGGAAAAAGGGAACCTCTCATCTGTCAGCCGTCTGTCATCTCCTAACACTTTTACAGAGATCAGAGGAGAGGAAAGCCAGGGAGATATAGCAGCCTTGTGTCTATTCTTCCTAACATCAGAGTGGGGTTTCTGTTTATATTTTATTTTCATTTTTAGGCCCTCTCTCCGCCTACTCCACTCCCCTTCTCCTGCTCTATTTTGGATAAAGTGGCTGGGAGAGCAGTCAGGTCTGATTAAGTCGGCGTTTGGGTACAGTGTGTTCCTGGACACACATCTGCGAGCGAGCCATCACACACGCTTCGGAACACTGGCAGAACACCCAGGCCTGCCGGCAGCTGATGATGTCATCACTCAGAGGGACAGAGCTGGCGAGGAGCCAGACAGACTCTCCGAAAACACACACAAACACACACACACACACAGATACAACAGAGAGAAGACAAAGAGAAGACAGAGACCCTGAAGAACTGACACATGCAGAGACAGTCACAGACAGGAGACAGACAGGAAGAGGAAGCCTCTTTCCTAGGGATCCTTTAACACATATCTCATGTTCCTCACTCAACTAATATACGTGTGACATAATGAACAGGTGCATGTGAAAACAGTACATCCTTATTATGTGTATTGTAAATGGAATGGACTCTATTATTGTCATCATATGGCAGTGTTACCTGAATGAGAGAGCATGTGCATCCTGAGCCGTACACTGTCCATGAAGCGTTTGCCACAGAACTCACAGCCGTGTCCCTTCTCTCCTCCACTGTGCAACTTCCTGTGAGGACAGAGAAGAAAGGACTGGGATGAACCAATGACTGAGGTCTCAAAAATAGCAGACATTGGGCTCTAAAATGTTTTGGTGCCTTTTTCTGAAGGGTTTTCAAAAGGTAGAGGTATCATTGTCCTTGTAGAGAAAAGCATGTTTCATTCCATCATGAAAGCAACCCTCTCTGTGTACTGCTGCATCATTAGAGTAGAGCGGTCTCTAAGAGTCGTGAGTCACACAGTATCACACTGTACCAATGCAAAAGGAGAACAGACAATAGAAATATCAGGGATCATTTTAGAAAGCACAATACAAATAAACGTGCTGATACCCACGTACACATACAGACACAGACACAAACATAAACACATACAGACACAAACACCCACGTAAACATACAGACACAGACACAAACACAAACACCCACGTACACATACAGACACAGACACAAACACCCACGTACACAGACAGCACAACACAACACCTAACGTACACATACAACACGACACAAACACCCGTACACATACAGACACAGAACAAACATTAAAACAACCACATACAACACACAAGACAGAACAACACAAAACACCCACTACACATAAAAAAACACCAGACACACCACATACACAGAAAGACACAAAAACACACCACGTACACATACAAACAACAACACAAACACACACAGACACGTACAAACAAAACACAAAACAACAACACGAAACAACACAAAAAAACAAACACAGACACAAACACAAACAAACCCCACGTACACATACAGACACAACACACAAAACCCAGTACACATACAGACACAAAACAAAACCCAGTTACACATACAGACACAGAACAAAACACAAACAACCACACACATACAGACACAACACAAAACACAAAAACAAACACCCACATACACATGACAGACACAAAACACCATACAACATACAGACAACAAACAAAACACCACGTACACATACAGACACAAACACAAAACACCCAGTACACATACAGACACAAGACCAAAACAACAACACAAACACCACATACACATACAGACACAAAAGACACAAACACCACGTACACATACAACAGAACACAAACACAAAACACCCACTACACACCAGAACACACAAACACAAACAAACCCATACACATACAGACAGACCAGACACAACACAAACACCCATGTACACATACAGACACAGAAACACAACACCCACGTACACATACAGACACAGACACAAACAAAAACACCCACGTACACATACAGACACAGACACAAACACAAACAAACACCCACATACACATACAGACACAGACACAGACACAAACAAACACCCACGTACACATACAGACACAGACACAAACACAAAACACCCAGTACAACAACACAATACAGCACAACACCCAGACATACAGACACAAACACAAACACCCACGTACACATACAGACACAGACACAAACACAAACACAAATACCCATGTACACATACAGACACAGACACAGACACAAACACAACCACCCATGTACACATACAAACACAGACACAAACACAAACACCCACGTACACATACAGACAACCAGCCACAACACACAACCAAACACCCAGTCACAACCACACACACAACAACACAAACACCCACGTACACATACAGACACAGACACAAACACAAACACAAACACCCACGTACACATACAGACACAGAACAACAGACACAAACACAACACAACACCCCATAAGTACAAACAATCAATACAACAGACACAAACACAAACAACCCACGTACACATAGACAAACACACACACATACAACAACACAAACACCAACAGACACACAGACAAACACAAACAACACCACAACACATACAGACACAAAACACAACACACCACTACACATACATACAGACAACAAAACAGACAAACACAAAACACCCACGTACACATACAGACACAGACACAACACACAAAACACCACGTAACACAACAAGAACAACACCCAACACATACAATACAACACAGACACAAACACCAACACACATATCAGACACAACACTCACATAAAACACAACGACACAGACACAACAAAACACCCACGTACACATTACAGAACAACACAACACAAACACACTACACATACAGACACAAACAAACACACACATCAGACACATACAGACACAGACACAAACACCACACCACTACACACAGAACAAACAAACACAGAAAAAACACCCACTACACATACAGAACAACACATACACATACAGACACAAAGACACAAACAAAACACCACGTACACATACAGACACCAGTACACAAACAACACCAAACATACAGACACAGACACAAACACACAAACACCCATGTACACATACAGACACAGACACAAACACAAACACCCACGTACACATACAGACACAACACAAACACCATACACATCACACAACACAGACAAAACACCAGTACACATTACAGACACAAACACCCACTACACATTACAGACACAAACATCACCAGTACACATACAAAAGACACAGACACAAACACCGTCACTTGACACATAAAACAGACGACAATACAACCAACACCCACGTACACATACAGACACAGACACAAACACCCACATACACATACAGACACAGAAACAAACACCCACGTACACATACAGACACAACAAAACACCCACGTACACATACAGACACAGACACAAACACAAACACCCACGTACACATACAGACACAACACAACACTGACTACACATACAGACACAAACACAAACACCCACGTACACATTCAGACACAAACACTCACATACACATACAGACACAAACACAAACACCCACGCACACATTCAGAACACAATCACTCACATACACATACAGACACAAACACAAACACCCACGCACACACATGCAAATCCAGACAGCCAATCCTCTCGTACAAAATGAAAAAACTGACTCGCCGCTCTACCTGCAGCAAACCCCATCATATCATATCACACGTCCAGCCATGCCAGGCATCATCTGCACTGTTATAATAATACTCCCCTCTGCAGCACAATGGCCAGACAGCAGTCCTCTAGACAGTTATAAACAAACCACAGTCAAAGAACAGGTGATCTAATATATAGTACCAATAAAATATTATGTCAACAAAACTCTCTTCAATTAAATCAAGAACACCCGCTACATCAAAATACAATAGAAAACGAGGATTTTTAACAGAAAACTAGAGAACAGATCCACTATAAACCAAAGACACCTCATACAATTCCTAGCTTTCTCCTTTAGATAATTCACTTAATCAAAGCTTGAAGTTAAAGTTCTGAAAAAGTGTGCTATGCCCTAACAAACTTCTCTCTCCCTGTTCTCTCCACTCAGAAATGTCAATGTGACTGAGGTGGATGATGCTCAGTGACCTGTCTCCTGACATGGACTAGCTTCATTACAACATCAGCAGTCACCAGAAGGACTGACTCCTCCAACCTTCAAACCTCTGCCTATCTCCATGACTGAACATTGGCTAGCTAACACCCTGCTGAGTGTTCTGTGTCACCAGGCTCTTTCAAACACTGGAATGGCACAGGCCTGAAATGTCAGCCATCTGCGTGGGAGGAGAAAGGGTAGAGGTTGGTGTTCTGATACTGATGATGGCTTGGTTGATTTGATTTAGTTATGGGACCTGTGGACATGTCTGTAGCTTTTGTAATGTGACTCAAGAGTTTACATTAATCTTACAAAAGTCATAGGAGACCCCCCCCCCCCCCTTCTTTAAACCCACCAACCTCTTTAAACCCACCAACCTCTTTAAACCAACCAACCTCTAGTTTAAACCCACCAACCTCTTTAAACCTACCAACCTCTAGTCTAAACCCATCAACCTGTAGTCTAAACCCACCAACCTCTTTAAACCTACCAACCTCTAGTCTAAACCCATCAACCTGTAGTCTAAACCCACCAACCTCTTTAAACCTACCAACCTCTTTAAACCAACCAACATCTAGTTTAAACCCACTAACCTCTATAAACCCACCAACCTCTAGTTTAAACCCAACAACCTCTTTAAACCCACCAACCTCTTTAAACCCACCAACCTCTTTAAACTCACAAACTTCTAGTCTAAACCCACCAACATCTAGTTTAAACCCACCAATCTCTTTAAACCCACCAACCTCTTTAAACCCACCAACCTCTTTAACCCATCAACCTCTAGTCTAAATCCACCAACCTCTTTAAACCCACCAACCTCTAGTCTAAACCCACCAACCTCTTTAAACCAACCAACCTCTAGTCCAAACCCACCAACCTCTTTAAACCCACCAAGTCATGAGGCAGCAGTTAAACCATCTAATAAAAAATAATCATACAGAATTGTGAAATGTTTTGCAACTTTGTAAGCAGCTTCATTATGCCACACCATGTCTGCTAAGCGGCTAACAAAGACCTATTTCATACCTCTTATGAAGTCCCTCTATTCAGGAATAAGAGCAGGTGTCTTTTTAAACAAATTAAAAGATTTCATATTGTTGCTCCAGGCTCTTTCCTTTGAAGTCTTTTAATGTGTTAAAAGTTAATGAAGACAAAAAAAAAATAGCCAACCTTTAAATTAGAAGTTGTGCACTACAATCTATCTCTTCCTTCACACCCTAACAAAACAATTAACCATTTAGCATGAAGACTCCAGACTCACCACACACACATACACACTCCACATCCCTGTCTGTCTCTCACAGACCTCCTAGTGCAGGGTTCTTCAATTCCGGTCCTGGAGGGCCGAAACACTTCTGTTTTTTATTTCTACCTGGTAGTTAATTGCACTCACCTGGTGTCCCAGGTCTGAATTAGCCCCTGATTAGAAGGAGAGGATGAAAAACAGAGGTGTTTCGGCCCTCCAGGACCGGAATTGAAGAACCCTGTCCTAGTGTATAGCGAACAGACAGAACACTTTGTGGGTGAAGGAGTGACATAATTGAATTGCAATTTACTTTGAATAACAGCATTTACTAAATGATCACAGCATTATAATAATTTTACATTTACATTTACATCTTTGGCAGACAATAATCTGCATTCTGCAAAAATAAATGCTGTTTCACTCATTCCACATTCAACTACATTTACCTGCTGGCACTCTCTAACAAAATACCTCCTTCAATCATACCTAGAGATCCATAATGCGTAAAGACGCCCTACAGATATAACAGTGAGTGGTGTATGCAGCCAGCTGTACTCTGTACTCTACCTGTGTTGCTCCATGTCCTCTCTGTCGTGAAGCTGGAGACCACAGTCCCCACTGCTCTGAGTCTGACTCTGGCCCTCCCGCCTCATCCCTGCTGCAAACTGGCCCAGCCTGCTGAGGATCTCCCTGTGGAGCAGGCCCTGGGGCAGCAGCCCCCCATAGGCCCTCAGGTCCAGGGACATGGCCAGGGAAGGGGCCACCGACATGGTCATAGGCAGCCCCCCCTCCCCTATGTGGTTGGAGGGCATGGAGGAGTAGAGGGAGGCCAGGTGTTTCTCAGCCAGCCCAGGGAAACTGTCCAGAGGAGAGTTGTTCCCCACTATGCCCCCCTCCTCTTGGCCCGAGTGCTGCTCTCTAGCAGAGGTGATGACACTGCCTCTTTGGGGGGTCCCCGGGCCCTCATCTCTGGGCTGGTCCGACTCACAGCCCCCCTCCCCTCCGCTGGAGGACCGGCCCTCGTAGCCATTGGCTTCATCCACCTGCATGTTATTGTCCTCTGTCTTTATCCTCTTAGCCAGAGGCAGGGAGGGGTCCTGGGCTCCATTTAGGCTGTACTGCAGTAGAGACTGACCTTGGCCCTCCAGACTAACCCCTCCATCTTGTGTGTGGCTGGCTACAGGGAGCCCCATAGGTAGTCCCCCTGGCCCAGAGGGACTCCTGTCAGTCATGTGGTACAGTGCCAGGTGGTGCAGGGCAGTGGGGTTGATACCACCCTCCTGCATGGAATGCTTCTTGGAGATTAGCATGTTCCTCCAGTGCCTTGCCCTGCCATGTTCGCTCTCTCCAGACACGTGATTCCTCCCACTCAGACTCAGGTGGTCCTGCTTCTCCTCTGACTGGATGGTCTCCAGGACCTTGAGGCACTGCTCCTCCAGGTACTCTATCTCCAGGATCTCAGCGGCGTACAGCAGGTCATCCAGGTCCTCGGCCGTGGCCTGCAGGGAGGCTGTGTAGGCGTAGTCCAGGATCTGCTGGAAGGTCTTAGGGGAGAGGAAGTCGAGAGCGTAGCGCAGGCTGCTGCGGTGGAATAAGATCTCAAACATCTTGCTGGTGCAGGCCAGGACGGTGCGGTGGGCCGGGAACTCCTGGCCGTCCACCGTGATGATGACGTCACACAGCGTTCCTGACAGACGCATATGATTGGCCCTCTGCAGGAGCGTGGCGGGAAGGGTGGGGTTGTGGAGCTGGAGAACACCCATGTTAGTCAGATGATCCGTACGGCCTCGGACCCTCTCTGAGCCCACGCATGAGCTGTGTTCTATCCCACCTGCTTTCCTTCAGTGTGTTTATAAGTCTAGAGGGAGATAGAGGAGAAACAACATTAAATATTAAATCTCAGATCATGGTAATGAAGAATGGTCTGGTTGATTGCCATGGTTTTTGTAAAAACATTAGAATTATGTCAATAACTTGCATGTTCAACAATTGTAGAGGGAAAGGTAATAATACTTTAGCATTGGCTGACCAAATGTCAGGGACTGGGCTGAAATGTCGATATTGTATAGTAATGTCACTATAAGGAAATACACTGGAAGCAAAAACTGGAATTATAGGCTCCCCAAATCCAGCAGTGCCCCATGAGGTCTGTTTGAGGCTGGTTACATATGTCTATATGCCATAGGCTGCAAACGGACAGAGCCATACACTATCACGTGTTGTAAATGTATTACGCCTCGATCACACCTACAGTCTATTTGCGCAAAATAGTACGCAGCATCATCTGAATATGTGTGCAACATAAAGTTCAACATTCACCTTCTGCTTCATTTCTGTCCAGCTGTCTACGCATACAGTTTGACTAATAGGTTTGATAAATCCAAAGTATGCACCACACAGAATGCACTGCAACTGCCTCTGCAACGCAATGTTGCAAGGCAAAAGCAGCGTCCATTGGAAATGAATGTACTTCTGGTGTACCAATACACAAAACCATGTCGGTGTGATCGAAGCGTTATGCTTTGAACACACCGACTGTGTTATTGCACACCAGAAGTACATTCATTTCCATTGGAACGTTGCGTTTGCCTTGCAGAGGCAGTTCCAGTGCGTTCTGTGTGGTCAACGGGTTGAAAGCAATGATAGCAGAAGGTGAATGTTGAACAATCACACACATCTGGAGCGCTTTTCTAACGCCTCGATAGGTTCAACATTTTGGTATAACAGAAGTACATTAACTTCCAATGGAACGCTGCGTTTGCCTTGCAGCACGTTCTGTGTAGTGTATACGTTGGATTAATCGAATGTATGCATCAAACTGTATGTGTAGAACGCTTGACAGAAATGGTAGCAGAAGGTGAATGTTGAACTTCTGTTGCACACATTTTACATTTTTAGTCATTTAGCAGACGCTCTTATCCGAGCGACTTACAGTTAGTGAGTGCATACATTTTCATACTGGCCCCCCGTGGGAAACGAACCCACAACCCTGGCGTTGCAAGCGCAATGCTCTACTAACTGAGCTACAGGGGAATAAACATACATCCAGATGATGCTGGTACCATTTTGCGCAAAAACACTGTCGGTGTGATGGAGGCGTAATGTTTGTAGGGGTGGCCACTCCAACCAATATAGCATATGCTCATTTAAATAAATGCTACGACAAATAGTTACATGATTATTGGTTATATTTTCTGACCTTCAGTGACCACTGACCCATATCCACTTAATGGGTCATGTTGAAACTCAGCCTGGGTAGTTCCGCAACAGAGCGCATCAGGTGCAAACTGAGCTCTGATAGAATCACGAATTCCTACCCCAAAACACCAACATTTAAAATGATCTAGTTACTAAAGTAAACATGAAATAATTCATTATCGCCATAATGTTAAACTGTATAGGAGCAACACATAGCCTGGGCGCACCGCACAGCACCGCTCAGTCACGTCTCTCTCTGTCTGATCGTACCGCGAGCATACTAAGCAGTCAAGTTTGTAAATCCCTGTTACTGTAACTGCGGGCAAACTTTACTCTCAATAACATTTTTGGAAATGCGACCGTGTATACAAAAACAAACACAAAGGGATTGCCATTTAGTAAATATGTAAATTAATAATTCAACATTTTTCATGAATTGCATATAGGTTGAATAATAGCTATTTCAGAAAGTATATTCGAATCACCTGTGCAATGGCAGTATTCTTGCAATAGAGAACGTAGAAAGACAACTATTTTTCTCTATCATTCCCCTTACCTTAGTGGCCTGTTATGTCCTCATTTAGCCGATTGCATTATCATTAAGGCAACATCATGGCAAGGCAATTCACAGAACCCACTCCAAACTCATCCACACTCCAAGTAGGCAAATCATCACCCAGGCGACGTCACAGCTTTGGATTGTCCTCTGTTCCCGGTTCTATCAAGGCTGGAAAGAGAGACATCTACAGGGCAACAGTCCTCACGACCTGGGTTTTGGGAAGGGTGAATAAAAGTCAGTAGCCTTTAGATCCAGATGCAATTGAAACCAATTAGTTCAATTAACCATTATTAATCACTTAATGAAATATTATAAATTCAGATTTTTAAAATACTGGTAGAACTGCCTGGGTGATATGGATCTGACCTTGACTCATTACAATTCTATTAGTCCCTCTAGTCTAGACAGAGGAGCAACAAGAGTCACTAACTCAGGGACTCAGGGAATACAGCAACACCAACACATTATTATACTCTATTACCATCTAACATTCTCCCATCTCTTCACCTAATCTAGAAGGTAATCATTTAATAACCTTCATCAAGGAGTCATATTACTTTATCCTCAAGGATATTGATATAATCTGGCAAAAAATACTACATTTGTAAATTGTCATTTCATGCCACCTAGTGCTCACACTTGTATATTACATCTACAAACATGAGATGGGGAAAAAGGGCAGACTAGTAATATAATATAATGATAGAAAACAAGGATTTGCCATGAAAACAATGGTAAACAGCGTGAGGTTCCAAAACCTTGTTTTATTTTGTAAATGGGTTAGTACTCAGACTGTACACCACTGAGAGCAGAAAGGTGCACTGGGTTTGACCAAATAAAAACAAGAGGCTCCAGAGACAGGGGACGGGGTAGGAGGATGACAACAGCAGACAGTTGTATTGTACAGGTTCTGGCATGACTGTTCCATGCCACTGAAATACTGAGGGGAATGATTGTTTACATGAAAGTGGCAGTAAAACATATTAACATTTTGGAGTGTTGTTTTCTTCTGTTGTCAGATTACCACCCTGCCCTCTGTCTCTGGTATTATAAACTCAACAGGCAGCAAGCTCATGATGCCTGCTATTGTACAAAAACAAACTAAATTCAAAGACAACATTACAGAACACTTGAACAACACCTGGGGACTAAAAAAAAGCGTTTTATAGGCCTGAACAGACCTCATTCTGATAACTCCCTCGCATAACTCAATATGAAACTCGCATTGCCTAAATAAACATAGGCATGTCTATTTGGGTTTCTGTTACACATATTTTATAAAGTACAGTTTGAATTTATCATGCCAAAAACTCAACTTATCTCCCCAGGCTGTGTTACAGGCCACAGTAGACCGCTGTGTGATGGGGAGAGATCTCCAACTGTATATATACTGTATGTGTCACAATGACCACATTAAGTCATTTGCTGTACTGTTTTTATAGATACAATAAAAAAAATTATATATACGGGTAAGCCTTTCACAACAAAGCTATGCAGATATTATTTAAAGTGACGACAAGACAATCCATTGACACAGTCACAGTGCACAAGCTCGCAGTCAGGAGTGGAAAAGAAACCTTTCCATTTAGAGCGTACAAAAATGCTTTTAAAGATTTTTGCTTCAAAAACACCATTTTAAATGATAAAAGTCAGGCATTTGATTTGTTTTCTTGTGAATATGATAAGATACTAATCATAGTTGATGTTAAAACAAGGAGGTGGTGAAGCTTGGGTCATGATGAGACATTCACATAGATCACTTAAAGTTCTTCTCTACAACCTTTCTCTGTGAGAACCACTGGATCTGTTTGGCTTTGTTCTATCTTGTGTTCCACTGTGAATACCGGGACAATATTAGCTGCTCAATACGCACTTCTCCATTTAGCACAATATAGTATTCATTTTATGAACCCCCAGGTAAGGTGAGTTGAAGACATCTCATATGATAACACCTGATACATGTCTATGATAACATGACTTTCTCCGAAACCCGAAAACCTGTGGGCTGCTAGCTGGTCAGTCTCTGTCAATCAGAGCTTGCCTTGGAGCATGGAAAAGTGGTGTTAACCAAATCAATTAACTTATGTTTGAAACATGAAAACAATCTGTATGATAACCCACCTTAATACAGACATAAAGAGTAAAACAGTCAAATGTTTAAAACAAAACATTAAGAACCATTTGCAAATCAGACATGCAAACAAACTATTCGATGAGACTATTCGATGAGACTAACCCTCAAACATTTGAACAATGTAACATGGAAATAATAAAATAATGTCTATATAGTCAATCTCTTCATATATATTATACACTGAGTGTACAAAACATTAGGAACACCTGATCTTTCCATGACAGACTGACCAGGTGAATGCTATGATACCTTATTGATATCACCTGTTAAATCCGCTTCAATCAGTGTAGATGAAGGGGAGGAGACAAGTTAAATAATGATTTTTATGCCTTTAGACAATTGAGGCATGGATTGTGCATGTGTGCCATTCAGAGGGTGAATGGTCAAGACAAAATATTTAAGTGCATTTGAACGGGGTATGGTAGTAGGTGCCAGGCACACTGGTTTGAGTGTGTCAAGAACTGCAATGCTGCTGGGTTTTTCACGCTCAACAGCTTCCCATGTGTATCAAGAATGATCCACCACCCAAAGGACATCCAGCCAACTTGACACATCCGTAAGAAGCTTTGGAGTCAACATGGGCCAGCATCCCTGTGGAATCCTTTCGACACCTTGTAGAGTCCATGTCCCGACGAATTGAGGCTGTTCTGAGGGCAAAAGGGTGTGCAACTCAATATTAGGAAGGTGTTCCTAATGTTTTGTACACTCAGTGTAATGTTCCTGAATAATCCATTGTTTATCTGCAACCGCACTGAAAACAATTCTAAACTTGTAAAAACTAGACTTTTGTCTCCTATACCACTTGAGATCACTCGAATGGTGTTCTTTAGTGTTCCATGGGTGTAGAGAAACAAATCAAATGTGAGAGTAACATTTTTTGCACAATCAGATTGTGCTCTAATGAACTCTATTGCACAAACACATGTTGTTGTTGTTCTGGAAATGCAGTAAGGGCACTGGAAATAAAAACTCCTGCAGACTGTAATGAGTGTTGCTGCCGCCGCCATTTTAGATGGGCTAAGGCTGCCCAATCATGCTTTGCTGTCGCTGGCGTTTGTCTGTGTGACATCGTTGTGTTCTGTGGTCACCTCTGACAGGGCTGTCTTCACCTCCGACTCCTCCACTTTACTTTTCTCCTCTCCAAATATCTTCCTGCAATGGAGAAAATGTTAGAAATGAACACTCATTACAGTCTACCTGCAATGTAATAGAAAAACAACAACATTCATAAAAAAACAACAACAGCTGTGTTCAAACAAAAAACATCCCAAATACACACATTTAAATTTTAGCAGATGCTCTTATCCAGAGTGACTTACAGGAGAAATTAGGGTTAAGTGCCTTGCTCAAGGGCACATCAACAGATTGTTCACCTAGTCGGCTTGGGGATTCGAACCAGCGACCTTTCGGTTACTGGCCCAACTCTCTTAACGCTACCTTTCCAATATATTTTTTGACAATAGCCATAGGTAGTAATTGTTAGACGATTGATACCAGCACAAGTAATATAATTACAGAGCACCTCTGAGTCAAAGCGATAGAGCAGCACTAAGGACCACATAATAACCAAATGATTGTCTGTTGCAGTGTCTGCCCTACCGTTGTATAGACATTAGGCGGGGTGAGTGAAAGGCCTGATCTAGTCTTTTGGCCCTATCCCCAGCATAAGCGCAGCATTACAACACTGCTACTGCACAACCTCCACAACACGCTCTACAAGGAGTACCATACTACCATACAGTACAGTACAACTCCACATGATGTTGCACACACATCCACACAACCACTACCATGGCAATGACTACAGCACTTCTGTCACCATTACACAGGTCTCATTAATTATCACCACTGTTACCACAATTGACTACTACAATTTCACTTTACTTCACAGGACAAATGGCAAAGTGGAGACTGAGCGATAATAAAATAGAAGTTGAATGGGCACACAAAAACATTGACACGTATAAACCTCTAGAGGGAGCCATACTCGTCGTTGAGTGGAGCAGCCTTGGCCAGACTGTCTTACTCCCCGAGCAGGGGCGAGGCATCTCCTCGTACGTCGTGGCA